GGCCTCAGACACTTGACACTGTGTGACCCTGGGCAAGTCACTTAACCCTGATGGCCTCACTGAAACAGAACAAAAGTTTATTAAGTGTGTAAAGAACATTGTGCTGGCACTGAATACGTTAGAAAGTTTAGAGAGGATATGGTCCTATGATCCTGGCCTTCTTGCGGCTTCTATTTGATTAACTTACTAAGAATAAGCAAAAAAAAAAAATCTAAGGAATTCATACTGATCTAAGATGTAAAATAAAGAGCCTTTACATTTAAAGCTTGCTTGATGCAGCTTTCAGAAACTGCAGGGCTAGATTATGCAGTTACAAGCCACACTTAATGTCCCAGAACCACAAACACACACACACACACACACACACACACACACACACTCATTGTTCCTACACAACAGCTGTGTTTGTGCTCAGTAACTCCTATCTAATCATGTTTGGATCATTTCCATAAAAATGGCAGGGGGAGTTAGCTCCAACATCAATCCGTGAGGCATTTTCTGGTAGTGACAATCTACTGTTGCTCCTTCTCCTACCTGGATAAATGCAAAAATTGCAGGTTGCCTTCTAAGCCTTGGGGGGGATTTTTTCAGACAGTTGGACCATGATCCTCACCCCCTCAAGAAAGTCTGTCTGATAAATTAAGCATGGAGTCAATATGCTTATGGTATGATGAAGCACTCAACAGTAAGCCAGGATTAATAAGTTGTGTGTTTGTTTACCTAAAGGTTGCCTTCTTTTTAAAAATTGCATTTGAAGTAAAATAAATAGAACAGTAAGGGTGGGTCTGACCTAACCCTAGACAGTGTTCAAGTCTCACACTTCAGGGTTTGTTGCAAATTGTCGTTATCTAGAAGTCCACAAGGGGGCGCCTTCCTTTTTCTTTGCTCTGGAATCTAGCGACTTAGAGGGATGACCTCTTCAGTTTCACCACTGGCCACTGTCACTGTTCAATGCATTACAATACGTAGCAACAAATTTATGCAAACTTATTTGATTGTAAATGGAGGTAGTATGGAGTATGAAACTATCACTGGGCTCAGAGTCAGGAGCTCTGGAAGAATTCTAGCTGTACCACAACTTAGTTGTTTCTTATGTAAAATGCAGGTCTTAGCTAGACCAGTAGTTTACAGAATGGAGGGTAAGGGTCCACTGGGGGGGAATGTGACATGGTTCTAATGGGTGTGTAATGAACCAGAAAGTGAGACACTTCCTCCCCTCCCCATGATACCCAATAATGGGGCTTGTCTCCAACATAACCAAATAGCCTTATTCCCCCACTCCTTCTAACTCCATATGTAAATCACCCACTTGCACAGGAGGCTCAATCCCTCAGGGCAGCTATAATCTAACAGCAACTGCACAGGGATCATCGGAAAAATCTACTATTCAGCCCCTTCCCACAGTACATCTACCTCTTGTCCCCCAGATCCCTTCATGGCTCTGGTAGGTACCTTACTGGAAGGGAGGCTATGCTCTCTATAGCAGTAATCAGAGTAAGGGCCCTGCCTGTTTTCCTTTTCATTTTGGGTGATACAGAATAAGCTATTCAAGATGAGCAAACCTGGATGGGTACCACCTACATCACACATTTCAGTACATTATATTATCTACCCTTTCCTCCCATTCATCCCTCTTCCAAACTTCCCCGTTACTGTCAAAAATACCACCAGCATTCCCCTCAGGTTCACAATGGCCATCCTTGACTTCTCAATGACCTTCACCCCACCTGTCAAATAAGCTACCAAATCTTGTCAGTTCTAACCTTCCACACTTCTCACTATTCATACTCACCCTTCTTTTCATTCTCTCTACTCACAAAGTCTATTTCAGGTTATCACTTGTTTACTGGATTTTGGCAATAGCTATCCCCCACACAGCTGCCAAAGTTATTTTCCTGAAGTGCACTGCATTCCCCTATTCAACAAATCACTGCCCTCTATTGACCTCAGGGGCAAATGCTATCTCACCTTCATCTCATTTTCTAAATTTCTATTTTTCCTTAAGTTTTATAAAGTACATAATTATTGGTTTAGTGCATGTATGTATTTTAAAAAGTAAATATACACAATAGATAGAGACTGGGCCTGGAATCAGGAAGATATGAGTTTAAATCTGGCCTCAGACACTAGTGGTGTGACCCTGGGCAAATCATTTAACCCCATTTGCCTCAGTTTCCTCATCTGTAAAATGAGCTGCAGAAGGAAATGGCAAACCAAACTTGTTTGCCAAGAAGACCTCCAATGAGGTCACAAAGAGTTGGACACAACTGAAACGATTTCAATAACACAAAAATTCACAAAGTGAAGAGATACACTCATTTTAATCTGACAGGGAGGGATAGATGATAAAAAAAAGTTTGGAAAACACTGGTCCAGATAATGTCTGATACCCCTCATAGCTCTATTATGATAAGATGTATCAGTTCTCAGAGCAATTTAAGTACTAAGGCCTGAACCCTTTCTTTCTTTTGCTTTCCTACATTACTATTATTGTCCTTTCAGACAGTCCCTTTTCCCTTATATTCGGAATTCTTATGCCCCAGGAGATCATATTTATTAAACAACCATATTTATGAAATGACTATTAACAAGACTTTGTCTTCTTTCACTTCAAAACTCATTGGTTTCTTTCTTGGTTTGTTTTTGTCTTTTTCAAACTGGGTCTATTTCACCTAAGCTGGAAGTATATAGCAGCCACTCACAGCTTGACCTAACCGTGGATCGGCATGAAAATTTTGACCTGTTTTTCTGACCCTAATGCTAAATCTAGTGCAGACACCTGATTGGCTTAGCGATACTGCAGCTCAGAACTCATGAGCTAGAGCAACCCACCAACCTCAGCCTCCCCAGCAGCTCCCCCTGTGCAATCACAACCCCTTCTCTACCATTAATTCCTCAAATCAGATGTTACCTGATTCTGGGTTAAAGGGAAGAGGTCCTACCGACTACTACCTGCACACCTTGAACCTTAGAGAAATCCTTGGTTTCTTTTAAGGCTATATTCACGGAAGCTTTTCTTGAGAAATGAAACAAATATTTATTAAGTGCATCATGCTAAGTATCAGGGACACAAATAGAAAAGAGACAATCTCTGCCCTCCAGTTTACATTGTAATAGAGAGAGCCAACACTTACAGAGGTTGGGGCCAGGGAATGGAGTGTTTCAAGAGTCACAGGGATGCTGTGTTGATCCACAGAGCAGCTGATCAAGAGAGTCCTTCTAACAATGGTAGAATTGGTTTAATTTCTATGCCCAGAGTAAGAGGAGGGACAAGGGGAGATGGGGCTGATGGGTGGCTGGCTGGGATGAGATGCATGGTCTGGCTTGAGGCTGCCTAGGTATAAGTGGGCTAGTTGAATCAGACCTTTGTCCCAGTCCTCCCAAACAGGAGGGGAGAGGTGCTGTTCCAGGTGGTGAGAAGCAAGGCAGCTGGAAAGATGGCTAGAGTGGTCAGCTAGATGGAATGTAAAGCATGACCTGATAGGTCTGGTCTGAGGCCAGCTATCGAGGTAGTTGAATTTGTGCTTTTCCTCTCACTGCATTATCTTTATTTACTTATTTGTGTACATGTTGTATCCACCCAACAGAATAGAGTAAGTTTGTAACTTAATTTTTTACTAAAAAAATTTTAAGGAACAAAAATCTATTTTCTCTCCCTCTCACCTCCTTTCACCCCCTCCTCCTTGAGGGGAAAAACCCTTATACCAAAGATTCACAGTTAAGTAAAAACAATTCCCACATTGTCCATGTCCAAAGTCTATTTGTCTTCATGCTGCACTGAGTCCATAGCCTCTCTGGTATTGTGGTTAATTATTGTGTTGAACAGAGTTCTTAAGTCTTTCAGGGTTGTTTTCACAATGTTATTGTATAAATTGTTTCTGGTTCTTCACTTCACTCTGCATTAGTTCATACAATTCTTCCCATGATTCTCTGAATCTGTCTTTTCTCATCATTTTTTATAGCATAATAATATTCCATGGTATACCCTAATTTGTTAAGCCGTTCCATTCCAGAGGATCACAGACTTAGCTGGGACCTCTGAAGACATCTCATCCAAGCCCCCGATTTTTAGTTAGGGAAACCAACGAGGAGGCTAAGTAGTTTTTCCAAAGATTGTGAATGGCAGTCTTTTCTTAAACCTAGCCCGCTGAATTCAAATCCAGCACACTTTGGGACAAAGGTTTTTTATGTTTTCCCCCCCTGAATTCCCCATATCTATTATATGGTAGATGCTTAAAAAATGTTTATTGAATTGAATTTGTAGTAGAAAAACAGGATTTTAAATATGATTTAATGTCTGTCCTCTTCTTCCTTCCCCCCCTAAACTGCTTGGTGTTTTAACAGCATCTTCATCATCTCTCTCCTTGCCTGGCTTATATGTTTAACAAATACTCAATACTCACCTTGATGCTGAGATAACAGACAACCCCAAAACTGCCATCACCGTTAGTGTGACGGGGGAGAGAAGCAGGTGTTTTCTCCCAATAGCTCAAATGATTATAGTTGATTTGTAAGTTGAAGAAAATAACCTTTGTGAGAACCATTTATACCAGAAATGCTGACAATTTTTAAAAAAAATCATCTTACAGGGGCTGCTAGGTGGCACAGTGGATAGAGCTCCAGCCTTGGAGTCAGGAGGGCCTGAGTTCAAATCTGGATTCAGACACTTGACACTTACTAGCTGTGTAACCTTAACCTCGATTGCCTCACCAAAAATAAAAAATCACTTTACAATATTAAACAAACCTTTTATTTCGAGGTTAAGAATCACATCTTGGGGAACAGTATTTTTTCAAAAACAGTTCTTAATTGTAAAGTTTATAACGATAAGGCTGTATAAAGCAGCATATACGTATTTTGCCACATTGATATTTCACACCAGAGATAAACTTAAAGTGATTTGTGAGTTAAAAAAAATTAACCTTTGTGTATAGAGCACTGGCCCTGGAGTCAGGAGGACCTGAGTTCAAATCTGGCCTCAAAACATAACACTTACTAGCTGTGTGACTCTGGGCAAGTCACTTAACCCCAACTGCCTCACCAAAAAAACCAAACCAAAACAAAAAAAACAAGCCACCTTTCCCGCAGAAGGAAACAATCTCTTGTGACTTGAGTTTAAATCCCTTGACGGCATCAAATGCAAGTTCAAATAAACTGATGAACTGGAGTAGAAACTCCACAAATTTGTTTCTGTTCAGTGGGCAAGATGTCCTTTTCCTCCATGATGACTCTTATTAGGAATGCCTCAAAGGAGAGTATTTCTTCTAGCAAAATGTAGGAATGCCCCAAACACACAAAAGGAGAAGAGATAACAGTATCTTGAAAATCAGTCTTTGGTTTCTGTACAGTCCATCTTCCAAGGCCCTAGATTCTTAAATACTGTTAAATAAGTGTTAATACTCTTAAATAAGTGTTATTCGTGACAACTAGCAGCTTTGTTCAAAAAAAAAGATAGATTGTATATTAATGCTGCAACATTTTTACAGTCAAATGGCTCATACAGAAAGTCTAATGAATTTTGAGGCCCTATGGTATTAATAACAGATGAACTTCTATCAACAATCTCCACAAAATCCACACAGCAATACCTAAAACACTACTATTTGACAATTGTCAAAGCCAGACAATGATCAAAAATATTAGTGAGAAGGGTATCTGGAGGACAATGACTAGTCCAGATGTACAAGCATAAAACTCACAAGGGTTTGGTTTGTCTAGCAAAAACGGCATTATTATCTATATCTACATCATATACTTTTTAGTCCAGAAAAATTTTGTACACATACAACCCTTTACTTACCTATATCCTAGATACCATGATGAATATCTGAATCGATATGACTTATCAGCTTTTCCCACAATTTAAAGGGATGGCTTTATGGACAATGTTAAATGTTCCCTGGGACAATGTGAAATGCTAAGCTCGACAGGAAAGAATATTAAAATACTTCCTATACATTTCATTAATCAAGGCTCTTTTTCGGTTGAAAGTCCCCTAAACTTAACTTTTAGTGTGCAGGTAAGCCCAAATCTCTGATCAGAGACTGGATTTCAATAAGCCTTCTGCAGGACTGAACAACAGGAAGAACGCTGTCCTTCTCTGCATCTATCCATTCATTTTCTGGGCTTCTGGCAACAGTCAGTGCAGCTTCTATAGCAGGACCAGTTTGGCTAAGTTTAGGGATGCTGGCTACACACCTGGCTGACCACATCATCACACAAATGGCTCGCGCTTTCTCTCTCTCTCTCTGTCTCTCTCTCTAGTGTTGTCTTTCTTAATACTGACAAATGTAAATAGTAGCTCACTAAAGACGAATTACCACTTTCTAAAACAGAAGACCAGTCTCAAAGACCAGAAGAACAGCCATCAGCCTTAGTGGCAGGAGTACTAACCCTGAGGAAACCACAGACCTCTGAAAGCTCAAGTCTGGCAGTTGCTGCTATGCTTCTTACACTGTCATTAAAGGTGGTACAGAACAACTTGCTGGATCTAGCGTGTCAAGGTAAGTGAGCACTTCAAAACACATAAATGTAGGAAGCACAGCCTCCCTTTGGACCTGGGGCAGGTGACAAGTGCTCCCCAGCACGAAGAGAAGAATGGTAACTGTAAGAAAGAGCTTTGTGCAGAAATATCCCTTAAAATCTAAAATATTTTACTAATCATAGTAAATCTATGTTTAATAAGCAAAGTTTCACAAAAGAAAAGTTGAATGACTCAGTGGGCTAACAGCAGGGCGGAGAATCTTTGATTCTTAACTTAGAACTCAGTTTTCCTGCCAGTAAAGAATATGCCCATAAAAGAAGTAACAAAAAAGCCAAAGATAAAATTTTCGTTTCAAACAATAATAAAGCTTTAAAATTTCATGAAGATCTTCTTCAGAATTCCTGAAAAAAGGCAGCTGTACATAAAGACTCTATCAAAAATATTTGTGGCTTATCTTGGTGAAATATTTTTAAAGACAAAAGTAAAAGGAGACCAAGGAAGCCTCTGTGTTCTAGAAGACGGAGAGAAGAAAATGTTGTACTCTGCATCTTTGTCCAGTTGACTTTTTTTTCCCCCAAAGTGAAGTTAATCTTTGATTAGTGACATTTCAGTGAAACTGCTTGTTCACTCTGTTTTAGAAAGTGGTAATTCGTCTTTAGTGAGCTACTATTTACATTTGTCAGTATTAAGAAAGACAACACTAGAGAGAGAGAGAGAGAGAGAGAGAGAGACAGAGACAGAGAGAGAGAGAGCGCGAGCCATTTGTGTGATGATGTGACCTAACAGTTCATTCCATTTATATAAGGTAGTGAAAAGCTGAAATGGAGTTTTCAATAAAAATTAATTTTCCCATTACTGATGTTAGCCCCATATGCCTTTTCCAAACCAGAACAAAGAAGCAGTGGAACAAACATGATTAATTTGTTTAAGAATATGGGTAATGGAATTTGCATCTGAAATTAGAGTTTTATGTCTAACATAGTAAGGAGAAATGTTTAAAGCATTGGTAAGTTATCTTAATACCTTCATTTGGGCAGCTGAAATTAAAGGTTGCATGAATTTCCCATTTACGTTTCTCTTATTCAGGGGATTTAGCCATCTGTAAATAAAAAGGCATCCATGACTGTTCTTTTAAATGTTTGTGAACAAACTATACAAACTTACCCCCTGACAAAACCCAAAGATGAAGACAGCTTTGTCATAAGACCTGAATGAAAAAATGATTGCTCTCCTTATCTCCAAGTAAATATGACAGACCTTATTTCTATTAAAAACGAAAACAACAATAATTTTACTTAGGAGTGATTACTGGCACAAGCAGCTGTTTAGAGGGAAATGCCCCTCAGTCTTAGATTAGAGGACCCATTGCAAATGTTTCCTTCACACACTGATCCCAAGGTAGACTGAATCATGCAGGCACAAACTGTGGTCAGAGCATGGGAAAGGATCAGCCAGCATACAGGGTGTCGGTCCTTGGCACAGGTTTAAACCTTCACAGATTTCACAGCAACACCCAGAGGTCGTTAAGCTTTTATGGCATAATAAAATAATGATGAGATGAAAAGCTCATAATAATTATTTATAGAAAAGCCCATCCCAAGAAGACGGAGCAGCCAGGGGCTCTATTGGATTCTACATATGGGCCACTATTTTCTTCTGCTTTCGCATTTTAAAGGCCACAAGAGATAATGTAGGATTTGTAGGTTTACTTGAGTATGAAAGAAGAGACTCTAAAAACAGACTAACACAAAAGAATAAAGGTAGAACAGAGAGACTGATCCTTCACTTACTTTTACTACATGGAATTATAATTCCTCCCCACCCCATCCCATTCCCCAAGAGGCAAGGAAGAAAAGGTTTGATACATTCATCTATGGCTATAGCTTTGTTTTTTCTTCCCCCTTAACCACTAGGTAAAATAACTGCTATTGTTTTAATACGGTTTTTAGTTTAAGGTAATGAATAGATTATAAAGGTAAGTTTTTAAAGAAAGAGACGCCAGATACTTCATCATTTTCTTAGTCCTTATGTTATTGATACACGTCAAGTATAGCTAGGGAATGAGTATAAAAAAGAAGCATCTTGGCCTTTAAGAACAGTCAAGGCAATGCACACTACTTTTTAAGTAGTGTTTTTTTGGTTAAAGTAAATGTAAGAAAATGCTTATTTCTAAAAATGATTGCTGCCAAGTCTCCTTTCTCTAAGCTTTAATGAGCTGTGTTTCCCAGGGCTCCAAACTACAGCTTCATGTCAACTTTGCCCCTTATGTTTATATTTGAATTTTCTTTAACATTTCTGACAGCAATGTTCTGTTTTTGACTATTAATCCCAATGCAACAGTATGTTATCATTAAATTACATTTTCTCTTCAAGGTTGAGTTTCAAAAACCAAAGATTTTATTTATACAGAAAGGCGGTATTATAATTGGCTCTCTTTTAAAATAAAATACATTTTGTATACAAATAAAAGAATATTTACATATCAAGTAAATGAATCCATAACTTCAAAGTACAGAAGTATGAAAATACACCTTGCTGTAAAGAGTAGGATACTCACATCATAAAAACATGTTGCCTTTGCCATGTGAAAAGCGGCTGTTTAGTTCTCTAGATTTCTTAATCAGAGCTTTCTTCTGGGCTTCATCAAAACGGTTGACTTTGAGATCCTGATCGCGGTCAAATGGCCTTCTCTCTTGGGGCTTATTTTTTTCTTCAGTTGTCTTGTTCTTTAATTTTTTGTGATGTATGTCCATAAGAGATTCTGATCTTTTTGAATCCTGGGGTGGAATGGAAAGCGCCATATGGGGAAAAGGAAATGAAAATCTTAGCATGACATCATAATGATAAAATCTCTTGACAAAGTATAATCATTGGATAACAGTAGTCAACATCAAAAAGAGTGGTGTCTGACTCCCTGCTGCCTTTTCAAAACCCAAAGACAGGTGGAATCTGCAGGACATAAGTTCATGAAAATTAGACACAACTTGGGACCTACATTAACTGTAAACACTGAGAAAAAGAGATCTAGGGGGGGTCAAGCAAACATTTTAATATTCCAGTGTGCAGAATTGACATTAACAAAGGAATACTAAAAAAGGGAAAAAAATTATCATAGCTTACTTTATTAGAGGCTCCTAAAATGAATAAATCAAATGATGCTAAAATTTAGATAGTATATATTCCTTAATAATACTGATAGCAGACAGTCATTACTATACTATTACATAAGAGGGAAATATGGAAAAGGTGAATGAATGGGCTAGAAAAGCCAAATTTTTATTTCAGGTCTATAAAAGACGGTGGTTTCAGAGTCAGTATATGGTCTTCAGAGACAGTCACTTAAACTCTGACAATACAAATCAGGAAAAGAAGATGTTCAAAGAAAGGTAAGAGTGATAATTACAAACTAAGAGGTTTTTGACTACAAGAAATCGAGAGACACAAATCTGAAAAACAAAAAGCCAACGTTAACTGTAACAATCAAATACATGAAGAAATAAAAGAATATATTCATCATAGGTCAATCAAGTATCTATGTACAAAATAAATTAAATACAGTCATGTACGATCTGGAAAGGACCTTGGAGATCATCTGGCCCAACTGCCTCATTTCACAGATGAGGTTAAATGTCTCCCAGTCATTCAGGTTGGATGTGGCAAAGCAAATGTGGACTTTATAATCCCAAATCCAGCAATTTTTCTACTGTACTGTTCTATTACCAAAGTAACATAATAAAGTTTAGTTTCATTTCTAGGCTATGATATACATAGCACCAAAGGTGCTAAATTTATTGGGGGGGGGGAATAATCGTAAAAATATAATAAGAAGCACCAACTCAAAAGAGAAAACAATTAGGAAAAATGTCTGGAATTTATGTGGTAGCTGTCAATTTTCAAAACAGTATGAAAAATAAGGGAAAAAATTAAAAGTTTTTATTTTCCCACATAAGCATAATTCTTCTAAGATTATATATTTGTGAATAAAGCAAGGCTCTGTAATACCTCTGCTGGTGTTCTAAACTTTACAAATTAAGAAAAGAGTAACAACCTAATGAGTTAATAAGCTATGGATTAAAAATGGAGGACCATAAATGTTTTTTTGCTAGAGTTTTGAAAGACTTAATATAGAAGCAGAAAGACTGTCTCATGTATCTGGTGCAAAGACACTTTCAAGTGTCGTACTGAGAACATAAAAGCATCTTCCTTTCAGCTTCCAAGCTAGCAGGCCTACTTTAGTAATCATTAATGTTGCAGAGAAATGCCCCCTACAGTTCTGTGTGTCAACGTAGGAAAGAAGAGCTCGATATAAGGAGATAAGATTAACTAAGATGCTAAATAAAAATCAGTTCTCAATAATCATGTAAGATGAGGCACGATAGTTCTAAATAATGAATCTTATTTGACTTTGAAGTGCAGTCAGAGATACAGACTCAATGTGAAACACATATCCTCAACCAGGGATCCCTAATTCTACTCAGCTCTGCTCTAAGACTGGCAGCCTGGCATCTGGCTGATGGCATGGGAATGGGTTGCTGTGGATAAACCACAAACTCAACAATCAGAAAGACGACCAGAGTAAACTGCCGGGAAATCCATTTTTGGCAATGGAAACCAGAGTTTCCTCGAGGGAAATAATGAAGTAAGGCTGCGGCCATTAACGACTGATCAATGACTAAAACGCTTCTTGCCTTTCTTCCTTTGGTGTCTTAGTAATGACAGAGCAAAGAGTGGGCTGCTCCTTCTGCTACAGCTGCTGTGCCTGTCTGAACTGGAGCACAGGAAGATTATCCAGCAAGATGCTCATCAAGAATGCCGTGTACACTGTAAGCAAGGGGCAAGTTTGACCAGCTATGGTTTTAAGATTTTGGTGACAACCACTGAAATGAGTATCAATGAGGAGTAAGGGAATTTTCATAAAAAATAAATGAAAAAATGTTTTGGGTTTCAACAGTCTCAATGATTTGTATCAGTTTCTTGAAGTTGGAAAGGGTTTCTTAGAAATACTAGAGAAAATAATAGAAAAGAGAAAAGACAATGAAATTCTCAATTAATCTGTTAGCGGTGATTCCTTTAGACTACTCTGGGTTTAGACTTTTACATCAAACAATTCAAATCTATTTCCCCTTTAAACAGCTCTTGAACACTGATGAAGATCTGTATAACTCTGGGAGGCTCTTAGTTTCTGAAGCTGTCTATCCCCTATAATGGAAGTTCTGACATGAGTCACTTCAATAAAATACAAACTGAAAATACACATAAAAAAGATCCTACACAAAGGGGTATTTTTTAAAAAGTCTGACATTGCCTTCAGCAGCAGTTAAAAAAAAAGGCTATAGTGATATTACCATGGAAACCAAGAGAGTTGGGTATTTTTCAAGAGAGACAGAAAGGAAAGCAGGGAAAGAGACAGGTGTACATGTGTGCATGTGTATGTGTTTGAAGGAGGGAAGATGAGAGTGAGGGTGGGTAGAAGATAGAGAAAAAGAGAGAAGTTAAGATAAAGGAGATGGGCATTTTACTTTATCACTCACATTGTATGAAGACACCTGCTCAGCCAATCTCTTATCCCTTCCTGATAATACACGGTCCTCCTCACTCTTACCCGTTTGCTTCTTTGCTTCCTGTGCCTCCTAGTGAATACAAAAAAGACGGATCATTATCAAATCATACAAGAAAAAAATAAATAAAAACAAATCAATACCAGTCATATTCAGGTTAAATTACAATAAAATACTGAATTTAGACTGGGTCTGATGATACTGCTAGATAGAAAACAGATGGGCAGAGCTAGGATATAAAGTTCTTTGTATTAGTATAATGATACTGAATGATTTTGGTGAAACAAGAGAGATGAGAATTTTGTTTTTATATTCAGGGTTTTGCTTGTAAGGCCTTTGTAATTCTACCAGCACCAAGAAATTATCTTTTAGAATCTGGTAATGTCATACATGTTTCCATAAGGATCACATCAGCTCCTTATCTATAAAATGAGGGGGTTGTTCTAAATTATTCCTACATTCTCATCCATTCTAAATTTATGATCCTAAGTAAAGCCAAGTTAGAGACACCTAGCATCACACAAGTTTTTTCCTAATCTGGGCTTTGGTGTTTAAATTAGGATGTTTCCTCCGTTATCCATCTTGGTTACTGAATGAATAAATTAAAAAGCATTTACTAAGTATTTATTCTGTGCAGAGCAGTATGCTTCAGTGCTGGGGATACAAAAGGAAGAACATTCCTTTGGGGGAGATGACACAGAGAGGCTTCATTTGCAAGCCAGAAGGAAAGCTCTGGGGGTCCTTCCCAATCTCTTGTGTTTTGAGAGGCAGCTAGCTGCCAGGTCCCGACTCTACAAGAGCTGCTGGATAATGGTTGCTGGGGATGGCCATAAGCAGTGCATGAAATTAAAAAACATTACTAACACTTATCCTTTCTCATCTTTTCAAGATGCCCTGACTTTCCCAAATTTTCTAAGATGGACGATGACACAAAACGTTTCCGCTCCTCTCAAATTTTTTTCTTCGGTTTCTGGTCTTTTAATTAGGAATGCTTAAATGTCCTCTATTTTGTTAAATATCCATTTTTTCCCCTGAAAGATTATATTCAATTTTGCTGCGTAGGTGATTCTTGGTTGTAATTCTAACTCCTTTGCCTTCTGGTATATCATAGTCCAAGCCCTCTGGTTCTTTAATGTAAAAGCTGCCAAATCCTGTGTAATCCTGACTGTAGCTCCATGATGTTTGAATTGTTTCTTTTTGGCTGCTTGCAATACTTTCTCCTTAATCTGGGAGCTCTGGAATTTGGCTATGATGTGCCTAGGATTTTTATTTTGAGATCTTTCAGGCAGCGACTGGTGGATTCTTTCAATCTCTATTTTGCCCTCTGGCTCTAATATATCAGGGTAGTTTTCTTTCATAATTTCTTGATGTTGTCCAGGCTTTTTTTTTCTTTTAATCATGGCTTTCAGGTAGTCCAATAATTCTTATATTATCTCTCCTGGATCTATTTTCTAGGTCAGTTGTTTTTCCAGTAAGAAATTTCACATTTTCTTCCATTCTTTTTTTAAATTTTATTTTATTGTATTTTGATGTCTCATAGAGTCATTAGTTTCCATTCAATTCTACTTTTTAAGAAATTATTTTTTTCAGTGAGTTGTTGTACTTCCTTTTCCATTTAATTCCATTTTTTAGGGAGTTATTCTCCTCAGCAAATTTTTATATCTTTTCCCATTCTATTTACTCTTTTTTTTCATGTATTAGTCTCATTTCTTTTCTCAATTTTCCTTCTACTTTTCTAATTTGCTTTTGAAAATCCAGAAATTCTTTCTGGGCCTGAGACCAAATTACATTTTTCTTTGAGGCTTCACATGTGGCCATTTTGACACTATTGTCTTCTTCTAAGTTTATGCCTCGATCCTCCTGATCACCATAACTTTCTGTAGTCAAGCTCTTTTTTTTGGCTCATTTTTTTCCTGTCTTTTTTTTGTGTGCGTGTGACTTGGTGTTTTTTACATAAGAGTCGGTCTCTGGTCCTGCACTGTCCTGTCTTTTTGTGTTCAGGCTCTGGGTCTTACTGTTGACTTTAGGGCTTAGCTGCTTGCTTTCTCTGGAGGGTAGGCATCCCTTCTGGCTTGCACTGGGGGTGGGGGTGGGACCTCCCTGTTGGCCTCCCCTGGGTATAGATAGGGTTTAGCTGCTGGCCTGTTCTAGGGGTGGGGCCTTACTGCTAGGTTGCTATGGTAACAGAGTCTTTCTGGTGGCTGGCCCTAGAGGAGGGATCTTGTTGGTCATGTGCCGGATGGGTGGGGTCCTACTGTTGGGTTGCTATGGAAACAAGGTCTATCTGCTGGTAGGTCCCAGGGGCAGGGTCACAAGTTGCTAAGCTTCACATGCTCACATGCCTAGGAGGTTGCTGGCCTGCAGGAGGGTGGGGCCTCACTGGTGGTCTGGCTGTAGGACCCCTGCTGTGAAGCTGGCTGCTGCTGCTCTTGGACCTGGCTTCCCTCCCAACTCCAGTGAGACAGACCTTCCCTGCCATGCTGGTAAACTCCTCCCCTGCTCCTAGATCAATTCTGAGGTGGTATTCTAGTTGTCTGGAGGGGAATCTGGGAGGGCTTCAGAGGTTTCCTTCTTCATTCTGCCATCTTGGCAACGGGAAGTACCCATAAAACAGATTTATAGAAAAAAAAAATAAAGCCAGATCATCTTGAGAATATCTAAGAATGAAACATGAAGGAGGAAGCAAAAAAAAAAAATGGTTAAGACATGTCAAGATTCCTTTAAACAATTTTCTCCATCAATGACAATGGAGCTGCCACATTTGGACTCCACTCTAACCCTGATGTGTGACGTGAGGTGAAGAGGGAGAAATGGAATTGAGGCAAACAAAGCTAGGAAGAGCAGCTGGGCCAGAACAAGACTACGCAGAGGAGGTGCTGGAAGTGGCGAGTGTTTTACATAAAAGATAAGAGGATCCAAATGTCTGAGGGGAAAAAGAAATCACCTAAGCTTTTACAACCGAGAAAAGGCAACTGATAAAATATCACCACTTATATGCATATGCTTACTTTTTCATTTATATAAAATCTTTATGAGAATAATCTACATGTAAACCAAGAAGTTGGATGAAGGTATGACAGGGAATCAGGCAGACTTTTACAAACAATATCAGATGGTCACACTTATCCACTGAAAGGGCCTTACTTACTGAGTGCTTGATTTGGTACAGCAAAATGCCCCCAACCCAACGTCTCTCCTCCCAGTAAAGATGCTCTTGTGCATATGCTAAGACCACATAAGATTCCTCGAAAGATTACTCTGCCGAATGTCCCTCTGATTCTGAATATCAAACAGGGATATGTATGCTTGCCAAAGGCGTTTGCCTGCCTCACAGAGAGAGCCCATCACAGAGTCCAAACTGAAGGATTCCCTCTAGATGAGGGTTCTGTTTGTAGATGACTGCATATTGATTACATTAAGTGCCAGTACATTGCAGAATCTCCTAGATGAGATCCATAGCCACTCGAGACTCTAACCGTCTACACTGGAAAAGCCAAGTGGGTAAAAATTCATATTGTCTAGACCAGGGTCTCGAGGCCACATGTGGCCTTCTAGGTCCTCAGGTGTGGCCTTTTCACTGAGTCCAAGTTTACAGAACAAATGCTTTTATTAAGGGGATTTGTTCTGTGAAGTTTGGATTCAGTCAAAGGGCTGCACTTGAGGACCTAGAAGGCAACATATGGCTAGACCACCCCTGGTCTAGACTATGATATGCAATTCAAAGGACGGCCCACAGGTTGCCCCATCAATATATAACTTGGACAGACAGAGTGAATAGAGCTGAGTACTGACTAGGAGGAAGAGAAACGGCTGGATTGTATTTGGGTAATTGTGTAGTACTTTTAATGACCTGTCATTGTATTATGCAATTAAATTATACTACACAAAGTACTGAAATGACAGTATTTTAATGAGCTTCTTACTGAAACAAAGGCCCATATTTTTAATACCAATATTTTTCCAGTCTGAATAATGAATAATGGGATATCACAATCTCTGAAGAATAAATACCATGAGTCACCCAAAATGCCACGGAGAAGTGCATGGTGCATACAAGCACACCATGGTCTATTACCAGAGAAGAGCTGTTCAGAAGAAGCAGTGCAGAAGAAATTAGAAAGTTGTGGACTGGTCCTGTAGCAAGTCTGAGAGGGAAATGATGGAAAGTCTGAATGGGATGTAGTCCCTAAGTAACATCAACAGACTTAGGAATGGGGCCCTGAGTACAACTAATGGGCTGCTTGTGGCAGATTTATCAGAGAACAGACAGGAGCTGTACAGGATGAAAAGACATGGACAGATGAGCTGTCATTGGTATTGTTGGCTGGAGGTACCCACATTGATGGATCAAAGACTCCTGGAAGTACTGAAAAGTAGGGAAACAACGCACCCCCCCCCCAGATTATATACAGATTGTTGAGTAGTTTTAGAGAGGGAGTAGGGGACAGAGAGCTGGCCCTGGATCCAGAAAGATGTGGGTTAAAGTCCTGCCTCTGAAACATACTAGGTATGTTACCTAACCTCTTAAATGTTCCAGTGGCTTCAAACTCAAATAGAAACTTAACCCTGAGAGGCAGAGCCCCATACTGACTTAGAAAACCCCAATTAACATTGTCTATGTTGTACTGTATTGAATAACAGTCACCTGACTGAATGTCACCGAATTGTTAGCTTTGTTCAAGACTGATCCAGACTGATAGGAAGCCAGTTTTCTGCTCACATGACTGGGGCCAGCAGGCAGCAACAGGCAGCTCTTAAGTATTTAATTCCTCAGATGGGGGTGTAAAGATGCTGCTCTTTCCTGTCCTGCCTCGGACCTCTCTAGCTGCTGCTTCTGTCTCCTTTACTTAAAGTGGGCATTCCCAGGTGCTCATCTGAGCATCTCCTCTTCTTTGTTCCTATACCTCCTCCCTTAACAACTGAATTAGATTCCAAGGCATCTATGCCATGAAGTCACGCCTCAATTTCTTTCTCCTGGACTCTCTCAAAGCACTCGACCTCCCCCCCAACCTCCAGCTGCCATAAGGCCTCTCTCTACCCAGCTATCTCACAAGTACTTCAATTCAACATCCTTAAAGACTAAGCATATTTTCCTTTCCTAATAACTAATATTTCTCCTTCTGACTTCACTATTTTTGTCATTCAATTCAAGAAACATTTATTAAGGGCCTATGCTGCACTATACACTGAGGATAAAAAAAATCTAAGTCAAATATTCCCTGTCTTCCAGAAGCTTACATTCCTATGAAGTCACAGGTCCAGATCTGTGTGCATAAAAACACAAGAAAAGCTATGATAGGACAAAGCCCTCCAGGAAAACAAAGGAGAGAGAACACTTGAAGCTGGGGGAGGCTTCAGGGAAACAGCCCCTAAGGGAGGGAGGAAGAAAGACGTTCTAGGCATGGCAGATAGATGGCAAGTCATATCTGGGGAACATTTGAGAGTTTGACTGGAACAGAGGAATGTGAAACAAAGTTGAAGAGGTAACTGCAGTAAGACCATGGAGAGCCTTGAATACTGGACAAAGGAGTTCGCATTTGATCTCAGAAGCAGCAAGAAGATAGTGTAAGCTTTTGAATTTGGGAGTGACCTGGTCAGACCCATATCATACGAAGATCACTACAGATTACTAGCCATTATCACAAATTAATAGTATATTTGACCCTTTTTTCTCGCTCACACCTCTTGAGTAAAATTTGTCTTATGTATTATTATATGGAAAATCTGTATGCCTAGGGTAAATGAAATCATGCTTACCTTAGCTTTTCTTTCTTTGTCGGCCGGAGTATCCGTCCAAACCGATCGATCGCCAGATTTGTCATCAGCTCTTCTCTTGAAAGTTCTTGGGCCAAGACCAAAACCTTTCAGTTCTGGAGGGAGCTCGGTCATCCATGATTCCCTTGTAACTGGTCTGGACCCATCCTTCATTAGATATTTAATTAAAAAAAAACATAAGAATATACATAACATTTTATATCAATTAGTATACTTTTCGACTGATATTTTTGACAAAATTGTTGTCAGTTAATATTCAACCAGTGAGGAGTAACTGGACTGCTAAATTTACAACCAAGTATTACTTAGGCACCAAAGAGATATTTAAAACACTTACATCATCTCCTTTGGTGAGTTTTTCTTTCATTCTTTGAGCTCTCCATTCAAATTCTTTAGTTACACTATAATCAACTGGTCCTTTTGTAGGCATTGGTCCAATGATGGCCTCTTCATCTTCACTACTCTCAGTTCCCTTTAAAAGCAAAACATAATTACTACATTAAATAAGTTAGAAGGATCAGTAGTATTAAAAACAAAGGAAGGGCAGCTAGGTGGCACAGTGGATAGCGCACTGGCCCTGGAGTCAGGAGGACCCGAGTTCAAATCCCTGGCCTCAGACACTTAACACTTACTAGCTATGTGACCTCGGGCAAGTCCCTTAACCCCACTGCCTAGCAACGCCCCCCCCCCAAAACAAAACAACAAATGAAGTTTCTAAATTATAGTTTTACTTACACCAACTGCCTAGCACCATAAGTACCATCAAAAAATATTTGTCAATCATATAACTAAGTGCTAAGTGCCATAAGACGAGATCATAACTACCTTTTAAAATGAGATAATGAATGTAAAGTGTTATATAAGAAATAATAATAGCTATCATTATTGGCATGTAAAAGGTCTTTAGCCATATTCTCTACTGCCTAGGCTATCAACTGTACAATAAGGTAGATGTACATTAGGGGGTCTGGGAAGCAGAATTAATTTTTATTGGTCAACAGGAGCACAATTCAGTACAGTTAATGAAAAAAAAATGTAGTATCAGAGTTAATGGAGACAATAGATCTGAGAGTTAATGCAGTTTTCCAAAACTTCAAATGGGTGTAGTACATGCCCTAGTAGAGTCTATGTATTTTTATAACTGAACCCAATTTATCTTCATTGAATAAGTTTTGGAAAGAACACTCACAAGTATGATACTTTGCTCTGTGTCACTTACAACAAATCTGGGATTGCAGAAAGAACACGGAATTGAAATTTTTAAAAAATTCCAGTTACGTATTCTAGCTCTCCAATAAGTAACCTACTGTGTGATCTTAGGTCAGTGACTTAAACTCTCTGGGACTTAGACTAATCATCTGTACAATGGGGGAGCTGAATAAGCTGCCACTGAGCTAGATGCTGCTGCTTTCAGTTCTGTGTACAGAAATAAATGATAGTGCTTCCCTCCTGTTTTACCTGCCCCAAGGTAGCAAATAGTATTAAAAGTAGCAGTCGCTCAATCTCATTAGAGATTTTTCACTTGGCGAACTGGTAATTAGGATTTTAGTGGAGGTGGTTCCTTAGTTCCTACTCACTCCACCATTTCCCTAGAAATGCACTGCCAACATTCTTGTACAAATAGTCCATGATTGGATTTTTGCATTTTCCATCTTCTCCCTATTCACTCTACCCTTAATTTGGTTTTGGCCTTCTCGAGTCTACTGAAAACTGCACTCTTGAGTGTCCACTATGACCAACAGTCCCTCCTCAGTCCTCATTCTCCTAGATATCTTTATGGTAATTGATACTGTTGACTCTTCTCTTCCTTGGCTTCCATGATAGTTCCCTAATAGAGGGGACAGAACCTTGGACTTGAGTTAGAAGACACAGGTTCTAATTCTGAAGGCCACTAATGAGCCACGAAATCTTGGGCAAGTTATGTTATGTCTCTAAGCCTGTTTCTTCGTTTCTAAAATGAGGGGGTTGGATTAGTTATCTCTAAGAGCCCTTCCAGCTATAAAGATCTATAGTTCTACTATTCTACTTCTTCTCCTAGCTTTGTAACTACACCTTGTCTCTCTCACTAGCTTTTCCTTCTCTTTTCCCTTAAATGTGGCCAGTCTCCAAGTTTTGGTTCGTAGACGTCCACTTTTCTCGATATTCTGTTTCTTAAAGATTTAATCCATCCTACTCTCATTTCTCTGTGTATGACTACCAAATCTATATATTTATGGCCTTGATGTCTTACTTCATTTCCAGACTTACTCATCCCAAATGTTTTTATGTGTCGTTAAATTTATAATGTTAAATTTAATGCAACTAAAACTCAACTCCTAATTTCCTCCTCTGAAAGTAGTTTCCAAACTGTACTTTTCTATTTTTGTTTTCCCCTACCTCTAATCCTCAGTCATCTTTGATGCCTCCCTCTTCTCCATTATGCCCATGTTATCTTAAAAGAATGGAAATATATATATATATATGATACAATGTATCAAATGGCATCAAGTTCCACAATAATGTATTGCATTATATCAAGCACCACAACAATTTTGTAGACATTTATATCTTCCATTTAAAACTGTTTTCTTCCTTTTGCTTATACATAAATGTCTACATAGGCTTGTGTGGGAAAGACATTCTCCAATTCATTACTCCAAATAAGTATTAAATAACAACAGCTCCATAAAATCTTTCATTAGACTATTTTGGGTTTCATTCCTGAAATGATCTTTCAGACCACGTCTTCTTTACTCTTTCTCTTCCTTCCCCGAATAAGCCAATCAAGTGTAAAGATTTAAGTTTCTGAGATAAAAATTCATTATTTTGCAAAAACTGGAAAGCAATCTGGCTGAAACTGGGCATAGATCAATATCTTATACCATATACCAAGATAAGATCAAAATGGGATATGTGGATTTAAAGGAAGATATTACAAGAAAATTTGAAGAACATGGACTATATTATCTATCAGACTTATGGATAGGCAAACAATTTATAAATAAACAACAGAGCAGCATGAGGTATAAAATGGGTAATTTCAATTACATTAAATTAAAAAGGTTTTGTGCAAATAAAATGCAGCAAGATCAGAAGGAGAGAAAATTGGGAAAAAATTTTTATAAACACATTCTCAGATAAAGGTCTCATCTCAAACATATAAAAGAACTTTGTCAAATCTATAAGAATACAAGTATTCCTTAACTGATAAATGGTCAAAGGATATGAACAGGCAGTTTTCCAAGGAAGAAATCAAAACAATTTACAGTCATAAAAAAGTGCTCTAAATCATTACTGATTAGAGAAATGCAAATTCAAACAACCTTGAGATATCATATAATACCTACCAGATTGGCTAAAATAATTGAAGGTGAAAGCAACAAATGTTGGAGGGGATGTGGAAAAACTAGGACAAAATTTATTGTGGGAAAACTGTGAACTGCTCCAACCACTTAGGAGAGAAATCTGGAATTGTGCCCTAAGAGTTACTAAACCACCTATACCCTTTGACCCAGCAATACCGCCACTAGGTCTGTTTCCCAAGATGATGAGGGAAAAAGGAAAAGAACCTGTATGTTCTAAAATATTTATAGCAGCCCTCTTCATTGTGGCAAAGAACTGGAAATTGTGGGGATGCCTCTGAATTGGGGAATGGCTGAACAAACTGTAGTATATGACCATGATGGAATACTATTGTGTTGTAAGAAATGATGAGCTTGATGATCTCAGCAAAACATGGAAAGCATTGCATGAAATAATGAAGAGTACAATGAGCAGAACCAAGACAACATCGTATATAGTGATAATATTAAGAACAATTCTTAGTGACTAAGTCATTTTGACTATTATAAATACAAAGTTACTATAAAGGACATATGAAGGAAGATACTATCTGTCTCTGGAGAAAGAACTGATAAATAGATGTACAGAATGGTTTTACACACACACACACACACACACACACACACACACACACCCTTGTGTTTAATGGTAGCTATCTCTAGGGCAGGGGAAGGATGAGAGAGGGAAGAAAAAAAGGAAAAAAAGAAAGTTACATAACTTCATTACATATTTTAAAAAACAGCAAGTTGTACTTAATAGATTTGCAGTTTCACGTACAATCATCTTTTCCCCTATTCTACTATGCTATGAAAATGCTTGTTTTATTTCCTAAGTTCAGAATAAAATAAGTAAAATAAAATAAAAAATGTCAAATGCTGGAGAGAAATGAAAAAAGCAGGGGACTGAGAGAAGGCCATTTGATCTAGTGAGAGCAAAGTCAGAGAGCCAAGTGATGAGGTCGGAAGCCAAAAGGCCAAGAGCTAAAGAGTGAGTGAGAGGGGAAAAAAAAAGGAAACGTGGTACAGACAGTTTTTTATACAAGTTTCTTTGCAAAAGGGAGGAGAAATAAAGGATGACACATTGAGGGGATGGCAGGGGCTATTAACATTCTGTCAGGATTAGAAATTTTGTAGTTTTCGATTCTTGAAGTAGAATCCACGTGGGTGATGTGAGATGAGGTCATGAGAGTTGAGGCCACTGAGTAACTGGGAGGTTAGAATGCTTAAGAGAACAACAACATGGATCTTGGAAGATCCTTGGCATAAGGGCCAGAGTTAAGGTGGAGAGGAAACCTGGGAGCCAGGTGCTAAGTTTCTTGGGAAAGGAGGGAGAATGCTTTGGGGAGCTGAAAAGAACTGTTGCTAGGACCTAGATGGGGTGATAAATTCTAATAAGAAATTATAATCACCTATGTAGAAAGATCCCTCCATTGGGAGTCAGAAGATGTCAATTTTAGTCCACACTGTGCCATGGAGGTGATACTAGCCTTGGGCAAGTTACTTAACCTATGAGGGTTTCAGTTTCCTTATCCTTAAAATGAAAAGCTGAGATTGGAGGTATCAAACACGTGGTCCACAATCCTCTCATGTGCAGCCTGACCCAGATTAAAATGTAGTCTCTTGTCCTATCTGTTCCAAAGGGCACAGGAATATCGTCACAGTGCCCCTCCTCTGCCTCATGGGAGACATACACACATTAATAAACAAAGAAAACACTGGTCACTCAGAGACAAAAAAAGCACACTATGGAGCAATGAGATGATTTTTCTCCTTCCCTGCCATCTGCTGAAGATGGCTGCTACAGAAAATCTTTAAAAACATCTTTGGTGGACAATGGCTACCACCTTAAATCTTTTTTAACTAATCAACTAGTAATTCAATTAACTTCTAATTCTGAAAAACAGCTTTATCTCTTGCCCCATAAAGACAAAAGCATATATAATAATATCTAGTAAGTTCTAGGCCTATGAATATATTTTAGAGAAAGGCAGCCATGAAGATGCTCAATTAAAATTTAGTTCTCATTGCCAAAAATTCCTCTAAGCACAGAAAATCTATGCTGTCCCTTTCTAAGGTCTATTAATGCTACTCACTTTCCTTCTTATGTTCTCCATATTGCTATAAACACTATCTTTGCAGGAAATACACTGAATTTCCCCCCAAAATTAAAAAGGGCCACAGAAAAATCTGTCTTCTTTCCAATTACGTCAGGCCCAGTGCCTTATGTACTTTGTCCAAATATCGATTTGTTTGGCTGAACATGTGAAGAAGGGGACCCAAATACAATAAGGAAAGTCTATGTATTGCTAAATTAAACAAGCATTTCAGAAGAGCCATATTTAGCAACATTTGCTAAAGGTCACAAAAGCAATAAATTGACAAAAGCTCCCTGCAATTTTATGGGGCACTTTTCCCAAAGCTGTGATGAAACAAAGTGAATCCTGAGTATTCAAAATTCTATCTTAAGGCAGGATTCCCCATATAGAAAAAAAAAATTACCACTATATTTAGAGGGGGGAAAAAAGAAACTAAGTATATCATGTGGCCTGCAACCATGCTAATTATTTTATGTCTTTCCTGCAGCATGGACTACAATGAACCATACATAACACATTTGAATGTTGACTGACTCTATTGAAAGTAAAATTACTTTAAAATTCCTGCAGCAAAACTGTTTCCCAATAGGAATAATTTTCTTTCAATTTGCTCTATAGTCCTTGATGAATAATAAGTGGAGTAATTTTCTTTTTTACAACATACTGACAACCTGACTTTCATGGTGCTCACAATCATGAATATAGCTGATGCTTAATAAATATTTGCTGAATGAATGAACCAAGAATTTTTCAATAAGAAGATAACTAGTCATTATTTACTAATTAACCATACTTCAACCAAGTATTATAAGATGTCACAGCATCATTCTTCATAGAGACCCTGACAAAAAAGAATGCAAGAGTTGGAAAAATGAATATATTGTCAAAAATCACCCACCAAAGAAAGCCTGTGATAATTATCACAGTCTCATAATTTTTTTCTGAATCCTAGTGTCAGCAGTAGTCTTTCCTGCTTGTTTCACAACGCTGGTAAAATCAGTGATGTATTATATATATATTTAGAGTAGGAGTTTGTATTTGGTTGTAAATCATACAAATAATTGACACTGCTTCCCTTTCACTTCATCCTCCAATAAAAAAAAAGTAGCAGCAGCTAGCAGAAACATTAATAAACAATGAAATATAGCACAAATAAAAGAAGCAAGAAGAGAGGATAGAAAAGTCAAACAAATCATAAAAAAAATCCTAATTCTACAAAGGTATATTAGATCCTTTTGAGATGAAAAACTTTTTTAAAAATAATATTTTATTTTTTCTAATTACATGTAAAAAACAATTTTTAACATTTTTTAAAAAAAGTTTTGAGTTCCAAATTCTATCCTTCCCTTCCCTGCCCCCTCCTTGAGATGGTAAGCAATCTGATACAGGTTATACATGTAATAGCATGTAAAACATTTTCATATTAGTCATTTTGTTCAAGAAAACTCTAACAAAAAAGAAAGAAAGGAAGAAGGAAGAAAGGAAGAGTATGCTTCAGTCTGTATTCAGACAACATCGATTCTTTCTCTGGAGGTGGATAGCATTTTTTCTCATGAGTCCTTTGGGATTGTTATGGATCACTGTATTGCTGAGAACAGCCAACTCTTTCACAGATCTTTATTGTACAAATATTGCTATTACTGTGTATAATGTTCTCCTGGTTCTGCTCACTTCACTTTGTATCAATTCATCTATGTCTTTCCACTTTTTTTGAAATCATCTTGTTCATCATTTCTCATAGCACAATTATATCCCATCACAATCACATACCACAACTTGTTCAGCCATTCCCCAATTGATTGGCATCTCCTCAATTTCCAATTCTTTGCCACCACAAAAGGAACTGCTATAAATAATTTTGTTCAATCAGGATCTTTTCCTTTTTTTTTTTTAATCTCTTTGGGATACAGACCTAGCAGTGGTACTGCTGAAGCAGAGTTTTGTAGCTCTTTGGGCATAGTTCCAAAACAAAAACTCCTTATTTGTCTCAAATAGTTTTGAAATTAACTGTTCTTTAAATGTCTGGTAGAATTTCCTTGTGAATCCATCTGGCCATGGGGACTTTTTCTTAGGGAGTTCATTGCTGGCTTGTTTAATTTCTTTTTCTGAGATGGGGTTATTTAAGTATTTTATTTCCTCTTCTGGTAAGCTCGGCAATTTATAATTTTTGTAAATATTAACTGAAAAACTTTTAAATGTATAGTAACTCTTTTCTATGCTCTCTATGTTGGAATGGTCACACTATCTCATGTTATATTTAAAGGGCCCATGAATAGAAGTGCTAAGGACATTTTGAATCTAAATACAAGGTACATTAGTAAGTCAAGAATTAAATCAGGCAATTATGGGTTTAACATTGCCAGAGTTCAGCAACCCTCCGGTGCAGGCTGGCCATTCAGCCAAGAACTGGTCAAGTATATTGCAATGCATGAGTTAACAGATACTATCAAGAGCTCTCATAGCTCCTTGAAAATTTCATCAAGCAGAATAAATGATGTGAGGACTAAAAGAAATAGGGACATCTCTCCAGCATGGCTGAACTCCTTTACGTTGGTCTAGCTAAGCATGTCCCTCTCTCTATTCTTGGCTAGTAATCCTAGTGAAAGCACCAAGGACTTGTTTTAGCCCTTCGGGGCCATCTCCACACCACAATGCCTGTGCTCTGGCCAGTATCCTCATCTTCTTTCCCACTAGAACCTTCGACTCTGCCCCTGGGGACAACACACTATGGGTGAATTTTCACTGTATCTTGCCCAGGAGCAGGCTTTCACCCTGCTTCCCAGGTGCTTCTGCGCTATGCTGCTGCTGCATGCTCTCCTCTTCCAACTCTACCTGTGGTCCATACATAGACGGAAGGAACTATCCACTATTTTGCTTGCATTTGTATACTCAACACTCAACACAAATCGCTTAATAAATGTGCTCTTCCCCACCTCTTTTCTCTCCATTCTCGTCCCCCTCCCTTCCCCTCTCTGTCTCTTCCCCCTCTCCCCTTCCTTTCCTTCTGCTCTTTGTCTTAATTTCTCTGCTGCTACACAGCTGGGGCTACGTCATTTACCGGCATCTTTGCTTTAAGTCATAGAACATCAGGAGAATGACTAAGAATTGGACAAGAAGCTAGAGAATTGTCTCCTACCTAAGAAGTGACTTCCTACCTTGGGATGAAAGGAACAAGAGGGATGAGGGCCATCTTCTCTTTTCAATTTGGTACTCACCCTAACAATGTAGGCAACCATTACCCAGACCTGGCCATTCAGAATTCAGTTATCTGTGGACAGTTTTAGGTACCCATAAAAATGGGTATCCTGTTCTTTTCTTTTCTTTTTTTTTTTCAGCCAAAGACAAGCTTTATTAAAGATTCGCCATACTGGCCAGACTCTTAGGGAATCTAAACATCTGTGAGCTACTGGCTAGGTTTTAAGAACCTGAGCCTATTCTGTCATTTTCTAGAATGATCTAGTTCACTGGTGTCAAACTCAACTAGAAATGGATCCCTGGGAGTACATATTGACTTACAAAACCATAAATATTATCTATGTGGTGTTATATATATTTTTTATTTTGTTGAACATTTCACAATTACATTTTAATCTGATTCAGCCAGCACTAAGAATTTTGTGGCCACAAGTGTGATATCTCTGATCTACTTTATTCCAATGGTTTCAAGTAGAACTCTATCTTTTTGTATAGAACTCTTCTACACTCTTAAATTATTATTTAAGTCTTTTATTGTTATTTAACTTTTTCTATCTTTTCATCTCCCCAGCTCAATTATAAGATCTTTAAGGGCAAAGAAGATACCTTTAAATTTTTTTTTGGCTTTTATTTGATATAGGTCTCTAGCCTATATTTAAAGATAGTCAAAGAAGGAGATTTTACAACTTCCTTTGTAACCCATTACAGTATTTAATAATCTATTCAGAAATTCTATCTTATCTTTATTCTAAATCATTCCTGTTAAATATACAGATCTAGTTGAGTTTGTTCTGTCTTTAGTGGAAATGGGAAATTGTTGAGTATAACCTTCTGGACTATAGTTCTTTACTTATTTAAAGACCAAGCATAAAATTTCACCTGGGGGATACAAAAATGGCTTAGAATGGTCCCTGACCTCATGGTGATTAAAGGTTTGGCAGGAAAGATCAAACGAGTACAGAATTGACTGTGAAGTAAGTTACGATATGAAAGTTTGATAAGAGAGGCACAGAGTGTTCTGTTCATCTTAATTTTTAAAATTCAATTTTTCCAAACCTCAGAGTTGAAAGATGATGACGCTGGTTCTCCTAGGTCATCTCTGTTTTCCCCAGCCTTTTGTGCTCGGTTATTAAAACCAGGTGGCAATGCAGGACCAATAATTGGCCTAAAAATAAAAGTCAAGTTTATAGATGTTCATATATTCAACATAAAAGTATATAAAACTAGGCTAATTAAAAATCAGGTATGTGGAAAAAATTCAAATTATCCAAATGTTATTTTGAAAAGGAACTCTCTTCTAAGTGTTTTTCTACCAGAAATCAGAAAGAAAACCATTTCACTTTAGTTCTCTGTTAGTCAACAATTAGATCTTCTTTCAGTGATTCTCAACCTTTGAGCTGTATATGAAACTGTATTTTAAACATTAAAAAAACTGGAAATTTTTTCACATTAAATTACCCTTTAATGCCACTTATTGTCATGACATGACCATGGATTAAGTGATATATGACCCAAGAAGTGTACTTGTACCCACAATAACTTAAAAAATTTTAAGAAAGCGAGTTGGACAGATCCTCTTTGGAGGATTTAGGGTGAAACATGGACCAGAATTGCAAAGTGTGAAAGTGCAGATGGATTGTAATTTGCTAATGGTTGCCAGGCATTCTTACATGAAGAAGGTTACTGGGCCACTAGTTACTGGAGAATACTATAGACTGAATCTGGGGAAGTCTGTTCTACTATTTGCCTAGGAATTATCTAAGCCCTCACTTTTGGCAGTCATTTTCCAATGAATGAATAAACAAAAAAGCATTTATGTTAAGGGCTTACTATGTGCAAATAACTATGTTAAGTGTTAGGGACATAAATAAAAATGCAAAACAGGTCCTGCTCTCAAAAACTCACATTCTTATAAGGGGAGACCACAAATATAGGAGTGTTCAATTGCAAGACAGATGGAAAGGTTCCGTGGATCCTGGGATATAGAGGCAAAACAGATGATAATGTATTCATTTTCAACGTCACTTCAGTTAATAAAACAACATGGCTTCTGACAATGAACCATTTGACAGTGCCCAGGACTCTGGGGGTGAGAACTTTGTTTTCCAGGTCTTCAGTAGTTGTGGCTGTAGAGGATGTGAGGAATGCTACATTTGCAGAGGAAGCTGTGAGTTCCCATGTGCACAGGGCTGCTTCCCTGGACTATAACTGCAGGAGCCAGGTTTGTGGTCTGAGGGTGGTGATGCTTCAGTTTCTAGAGGTCTTGGGCTTACCAGCCTACTACTGGTAGTAAGTTGTCAATGGGCACTGTTGGTAGTGGGGACCCAGGCCTCTTCTCCCTAAGGGTTTCTCCCCTTGTTATGGTTATACAAAGGGTAGGTTAGAAGCAGGGCCAGTGATCCGGGGGCCTGGCTATTCCTCAGCTCTTATAGGCTTAGAGGTTGAGGGGAAGGCGGTCTTCGTGTGATACCAATAACGAAATCTATATTAAGAGTCATTAAGGTTATAAGCAGAGGTACTTATGGACAGATTTGGCTCTGGCAAGGATTACAGATTTAATTTCTAACAAGCAGATCTAAAAGGAGCCAGCAACAAGTGAAAAGACACAGCAATAATGAATAGTATTCACAATGTTAGCTAAATTAACTTTCTCAACATCTGGGCTGGCTGGAAATCACAACTGTGATCTCTGACTGGAGCCCAGCACAGATGTCAACTTGAGTTCTTGGTTCTATTTTAAGCCTCTTGACCAGGGGTGGGGAACCGGAAGCCCTGAGGCTACCCGTGGCCCTGTGGGTCCTCCTTTGACTGAATCTAAACTGCACAGAACAAATCCCCTTGATAAAAGGATTTCATCTGTAAAACTTGGACTCAGTCAAAAGGCCACACTGAGGACCTAGAAGGCCACATGTGGTCTTGAGGCTGCCTTGACCTTCAAGTAGGAAACTCCAGGAAGACAAGAAAGAAAACTTCACTGCACCTTTTCGGCTTTTCATGATTCTTCATAGTTTCCTACAAATCTCAAGGTACTGCTAACTATTTTCTCAATGTCTTCAAAGAGGCAGGACAGTGTAGTGGAAAGAGCCCTGGGCAGGGGATCTGAAGTCTAGAAGTCTACTCCCAGCTCTACCACTTCTTGGCCACTGACATAAAATGAATGACCAATTACTTCACCAATCTGAGCCTCAGTTTCCTAAACTTCAAAAAATGAGTTAAGTATCTGTTCTGATATCTATCTAAATTTATTTTATTATTTTGTTTTGTTGATTTATTTTAGATATCTATCTAAAATATTAAGAGTATTTTAAGAATCAAATGAGATAACATGTGAGAATGGAAAGTGTAAGGTGCCATATACCTTTAATGTACTGTTCTCAGGGAAGCAAGAGGTGAAGGTGAGGGAAAGAGCAGGCAGGCAGGCAACAAACATTTATTCAATGATTATTCTGTATGAAGCACTATGCTAAGACAAGCAAAAAGAAAAACAATCCCTGCCTTCAAGGAGTTTACATTTTAACAGGGAAAAACCACATTAAAAAGCCGAAAAGTTGAAGGGATAGGGAGAAGATACTTGTATGGGGGCTTTGAGGTGAAGCCCAGGGAAACCCAAAGCATAGCTAGAACCAAGACTAGTCTGCCTGGCAAACAGCCCCCCCCACCCCCCCCCACCCCCCGGAACTCACCAATAGGAGAAGGGGATCAGCAGGGTCGAGAACATGCCAGGCACAAGGGGCAGCCAGTGAAGAGGCACAAATCAAGAGACAGAATTTTGTGTATAAAGAACAGCAAGAAAGAAGTCTTGCTGGATCATAAAGTATGTGGAATAGAGTAAAGCATTAAGAAGATTGTAAAGATAGCAATGGGCCAAGCTGTAAAGGGCTTTTTATGGCAAGGCATTTTATATTTGCACCTCCTGCCCCAGGCCCACTCCCTCACTCTAATGGGAAAGGTGGAGGATACACATTGGAGAGCTCCTCCCAGATCCCCTACTATTTTAGTATAGTACCCAAGGATTCTCCTCATTTCCCACCCAACTACTTTCTTGGACTTCATCATCTCAAGAAACTCATCATCCTACAAGATAAAATCTACTAGGAAATCCACATTATCTTCAAATCTTTTCCTGCTCTGGCTACATGACTTCATCACACTGCCATGCCAGGTAACCCCACCCCTCCCCCCAACCCCATCCCTACTTTTCAGTTTCTTTTTATTTGTTGTCTCTTCCATTAGACTGTGAGCTCCCTGAGGGCAGAGACTGTCTTACACTGTTATCTGTATCCCCAACTCTCAGCACAGTGCTTGGCACACAGCAGGCACTTACTATGTTGCCTTACTCTGATCCTAGAGATGACAGAGAGCCACTGGAGTTCACTAACTGGAGAGATGGGAGAGGAAATGACATAGTCAGATGTGTGTTTTAGGAAAATCACTTTGGTAGCTCAATGGACGATGGATGGGAGTGGGAAGAAACTAGAGGCAGAGAGACCATTCAAAGACTAGGAAAATAATCCAGGCATAAGGTAATAAGGGCCCATACTGTGATGGTGGCTGTGTGAACAAAGAGAAAGGACCATAGGAGATACATGTTGTGAAGGTCCAAAAAAAATGACTTTGCAACAGATCAGAAATGTGGGATGAATATAAATGAGGAGTCAAGGATGACACGTAGGTTGAGAGCTTGGGCAGTTAGGAGTATAGTACTGCTACTGACAGTAATAGGTAAGTTTAGAAGAGAGGAGGGTTAGGAGGGGAAAAGACAACTAGTTCTGTTTAGAGAACATTGAGTTTGAGAAGCCTAAGGGAGATTACATTAGAGATATCCAACAGGCTATTGGTGATGCCTGACTAGAAGAGAGAGACTGGATTAATAGATCTGAAAGTCATCTGTAGAGAGATGACAACTGAACTCATGAGATGATAAGATCACCTAGCAAGAAAGTGTAGAGGGAGAACAGAAGAGGGCCCATAATTACTGGTGGGTGACACCCATAATTACTGGTCATAACCTGAATGAAAATACAGCCAAGGAGATTGAGGAGTGGTCAGTCAAAGGAATAGAACCAAGAGAAAGCCATGTCATGGAAACCTAGAGAGAAGAGAGTGTGTGGGAGAAGAGGAGGAGCTATAGTGTCCAAGGCTGCAGTGGGCCGGAGAAGAATGAGGACTAAGAAAAGGCCATTAGATTTGGCTGTTAGATCACTGGTGACTTTGGAGAGAGCAGTTTTATTTCAATGATGAGGCTGGAAGCCAGACTGCAAAGGGTTTAGGAAAGCGTGAGAGGAGAGGAGGCGAAGATACCAGTTGTAGACGGCCATCTCATAGAGTTTAGCCACAAAAGGGAAACATTATATTAGGAGTAAAAATCTTTAGGAAATTAAGAGGATAGGGACAAAAATTGTAATTCTACTGGCATAGAGAACTTATGGTCAGCAACTTCCCTCTACCAATGAATGCCAAGCCTTCTCTGCAACTTTTAGTCTTACAGAGTATCCTACAGCTTTGAGGGGTTAAGTAACTTTCCTAGTTACACAGCCAGTATGTGTCAAAAGTGCGGCTTTAACCCAAGTTTGCTGGTTCTCTAGCCCTGAGAACTAGGACATAAAGTATGTTAATTAGAAGAATCTCACTTAGAAAAGATCAACCTGTACTATCATTTCACGTTAATTACCTCTGTGGAGAATCATCCTGTTTTTTAAATCCAGGAGGAAGAGCTGGCCCAAAAAAGCCATCATCATCGTCATCATCATCTTCTTCATTTTGATTTCTTCTCTGTTTTCTGAAAAGGAAGCAATTTCACTTCGTTTACACATGAGAGAAACAACCACAAAATTACTTCAGGAAAATTTGTCAGAAAAACTCTGATGCGAAGTCATATACTCAACTGATTAAAACACTAGACTGAAAAAATTGGAAGTCATCAAAGAAAAAATGAAGTAATTTGACACAGCACATACATTTTTATTGAAACCTTTTTCTGGAGTTTTTTTTTGCTTGCCTAAACATCAGTAAGAAATCTCGTTCTTCTTCATAACAGCAAGAAATCAACTACATCTGAAGTGTCTCTTATAAAGATGTTCTAAGCCCATGAGTGGGCGTACTTAAGCCAAAAAGTTAGCAATTCTACTCTTAAGACCGTATGAGGAAGAGATGAGGGATTGGAAGGTCTGATATTTTCTCAGGGCACAAGAAAGCCTCACTATCAAATAACTTGCCAGATACCAATTGTTTATATTAACCTGTTGATACCTGGCCACAATGACACTGTAAAGGTGGGCTGAAGTTGTAAAGAAATTCAAAAGGTAAATAGAGATTTAGTTTATCTTCAAGCCATCAAATCTGTGCTTACGGAAACTTACTTTGGAAGCAGAGAGAAGGATGCACTGTATTAGTAACTGTCTTAAAGCTGGAAGACCAATTAAGAGGACATTGCAATATCGGCCTCTTTTTGTATTCTTAGTGCTTAGAATGGCACCTGGCACGTACTAGGTGCTTAATAAATCTTTACTTTTTTTTTTTGCGCAAAGCAATTGGGGTTAAGGGCAACTGGGGTTAAGTGACTTGCCTAGTGTAACACAGCTAGAAGTGTCAAGTGTCTGGTCTGAGATCGGATTTGAACTCAGGTCCTCCTGACTCCAGGGCCGTTACTCTATCCACTGCGCCATCTAGCTGCCCTGCCCTCAAAAAGGGCAAAAAATAAATCTTTACTGAATGAATGAAACAATATAAATAAGAGGTGGGAAGGCCTGAAACTAAAGTAGTAATTGTGTGAACTGAGAGAAGACGTTCCATGAGAGATATTTTGTACAGGTAGGAAAGGTATGATTTGGCTCCTGGTTATATATGTGGAATGTCAGAGAGGGAGAATCAAAGATAATGCTGAGATCAGGAAACTGGGCAACTGGATGGATGGTGATGTTTTCAACAGAATATCTGGAAGAAGGGATAGTTTTGGGGAAAAGATAAAGAGTTCAGTTTTGGACATTTTGAGTTTAAAGATACAAGTGTCCAATAGACAAATGGTACGATGAAACTGGTGCTCAGTGTAGAGACTGGAACTAGAGATGTATAAAAACAGATTTATAGATATCTATAGATATCTTTCTATCTACAGATAGTTATATATTCACACATATATACATATTCATGTTAATCGACATGGAAATGATAATTAAGCCCATGAAAGCTGAGGAAGTTTCCAAAAGAGAGAGAGAGTTCAGGAAGAAGAGAACAGGACCTAGAACAGTGTTGGGAAATACCTACAGTTACAGGGTATGGATGATAAGCCAATAAAGAAAATGGAAAAATAGTGGTCAGACATGTAAGAGGAGAACAAAGAGAGTGGTGTCAGAAAAGCCCAGAGAGAGTATCCAAAAGGAGAGAGGCGGGGGAGAGGTCAATAGTGTCAACTACAACAGACAAAGTATAAGGGCTGAGATATTGCCACCAGATTTGCTGATTAAGAGACTGTTGATAATTTCGAAGAAAGCAGTTTCAGTTGAGTCACGTAGCTAAAAGTTAGATTGCAAAGGGCTGAGAAATGAGTGTAGAGATGAGAACAGAGAAAGTAAAGGCAGCAAGTACTGACAGCTTTTTCTGGGAATTTAGCTGAGAAAGGGAGGACAGATTTAACAACAGTTTGGGGAAATGGTATGGTTTAATATAGGATTTCTAAGGATGGGGGAGGCTTGGCTATGTTTGAAGGCAGTAGAGAAGGAAACTAGGATATAGATAGATGCTGAAGAAGAGAAAGACAGACAGACAGAGGGAGAGAGAATGGAGTTTGAAATCTGCTGCAGAAGACAGAAGGGGATTTGATCTATCACACATGCAGAGGAGCTGGCCTTGCCCAGCAGAAAAATTACATCACTGTTAGAGACTGGGGGAGAGGAGCCAAGAGTGAGGGATGATATCAAGAGGTTCTGAAACTAATAAAATGAGAAGACTTTTCAAATGGCCTACTTTTTTCAGTACAAAGATGAGATCCTCACCTATGCACCAGGAGGATGGGAAAAGTATCTCCATTCTTCAGAGTTCAACACACTGAGTATGTTGTGCTCAGCTAGTTCAATAATAAAATAACAATTTTAGGAGTTCCTCTATTCCTTCATGGCTTTCAGGGAAAAGCTGGAGAAGACCTGGGAAAGGGGTGGAGAACCTGTGGTTTCAAGGCCACATGTGGCCTTCTAGGTCCTCAGGTGCAGCCCTTTGACTGGTTTCAAGTTTTACTGAACAAATCCTTATATTAAGGGGATTTGTTCTGTGAAGTTTGGATTCAGTCAATGGGCCACACTTGAGGACCCAGAGGGCCACATGCGGCCTCAAGGCTGCAGGTTCCCCACCCATCACGTGGGAAACTAAGACCCCAGATGATTGAGGGATTGTCGCAAGGTCACACAGTCCATCTGTGATAAAGTCAGAACTAGACTCACATTACTAACTCCAGGTCCAGTACTGTTTCTGCTTGTCCTTTAATTTCCTGCACAAAGCAGTTTGACATATGCAGCTATAACACAACAAACATTTATTGTGTGGCTGTTCTACAAAAGGCACTGGGTGTGACACTAAGGATACAAGGATGGAAAAACAACAGTTTCTGCACTCAAATTTAAAACATAATAAGGGAGGTATGACGTGTACATATATGAGTACAAACATATATGAGTACAGTGTCAGTAGAATGTTATAGAGGTACAAAGAGGAGATTTATGCTAAGAGTCTTAGGAAAATCTGAGGAGAGGTTATTTTCATCTGAGGGGATCAGAGAAGGTTTTCTGGAGGAGCTTGTACCTGAGCTGGGCCTTGAAGAGAAGGATCTCAACAGGTAGAGATTAATCAAAAGGTCACCATAGTTATGGGGGGCAAGAATGTACTGAGGTAGCAGACAACAAGGACCAGACAGCAGCTCAATTTGGATGGAATACAAAGACTAGTATGAAATAATGCTGAACCAGACTGTGGAAAGCATTAAATCCAACATTAAGGAATTTGTAGTTTATCCCAGAAGCAACAGGGAATCTCTGAAAGCTTTTCAGCATCAAAGCAATATGATCAGGCCCATTTGCTAGAAAGATTATTTTGCAAGCTATGTGAAGAATAAGGTAGTGAAAGGAAAGAATGGAGGGAGGGATACTAGTTACTGAGGTATTATAAGAGTCCAGAGGAGCAGTGATAAGGGCTAGACTTAAGGGAGTGGCAATGCAAACAAAGAAAAAGGAACATATATGAGAGATGTTATGGAAGTAGAATTAACCGGACTAGAGTCAAAAATAACATCAAGGTTTCAAGTCTGGGAAGATGTTGGTGCTATTATGAGAAATAAGGAAACCAGCATTAGGGAACAAGGTCAGATGATTTCGGACGATAATGGTAAGTTTGTGGTTCCAATGGAGCATTAAGGTTGAGAAGTTTAGCCAACAGTTGGAGAAGTGTGAAGCAAGAAAGGAGGACTAGATACAGAGTTCTGTGAGGTATTTCCTCCATGATTGAAGTAACAGGGGTGAAAGAGCCTGTCTAGGGCTAGAGTATAATTCTCTCACTCTCTCCCTAAACTGCTTTGTATTTACCTCGAATACATTTTGCATTCAGTCATGTTGTTTCCCCCTCAGTAGTACGTAAGCTCCTTAAGAGAAAGAGTTGTTTTATTCTTGTCTTTGTACCCCAGTGGCTCCCACAGTTTTGGGCACAAAATTAGGCACTCACTAAATGCCTGTTGAATTGAATTTATGGGGAAAAAAAAGAGGACCAAGGACAGAGTTTGGGTTGGGGATGGGGGTGGTGGTCAACTATATTTAGGTACATGATGATGAACCAGACAAACAGTAAAAGAACCAGGGGACAGCAGTGACAGGGAACTCAAGGGGAGAGTGGTGATCAATAGTGTCAAATACAAAAGTCACAGAGGACAAGGACTAAGAAGAGACCATTAGATTTGGCAATTGGGTCACTAGGGATACTGGAGGGATCACTTTCCACAGGTGTGAGATTAGCAGTAAGAGTAGGAGAGTTGACTGGGCAAGTAAGGAAACAGAGGAAGTAAGTGCAGGCTACTTTTTCCAGAAGTCTGGTGATGAAGAGGAAAAAACACGGGAAGATGGCTTGAGGGGATGACAAGAATGGCTTTTTTTGGGGGATGGTGGGGCTTCAGCATACTTGTAGGCAGCAGGAAGGAGATGGCTGATACATGAAAAAAGAAGGCAATTGTCCAGAGTCTAGGAGGAGGGCAAAAGTGGAGGCGTGAACAAGGAAAGGGGCAACTTCAGTTCTGATACTAGAGCAAAGAGAGGATGGATGAGGGTCCAGAGAAGTTGTGAGTTATGTTAGACAGAAAATGAAGGTATTCACAATTGATGGTCTCAATTTTCTTGGTATGAAGTAAGATCATTTTCTGAGAGACAGGGAAAAGTGATGGAGGGAAATAAAGGTGAACTGGAGACTTGAAGACAAAGAAGGAGCTTTGAAACAGTTCCCGTGGAAAGTGTGACATGTGGTCACTCATAATTAATAAAATGATTGCAGTGCAGGGGCCAGGGAAAGTGAGGGTCATCAGGTACCATGAACTTCTAATGGACTAAGTCAGCAAAGTTTCCTAAGTTCCTACAGAAGTGTTTTGGAATAGAGGTGAAGAAGGCTGATGGTGGGGATGACCCTGGGCTGGGTATTTAAAGGGCAGTAATAGGACAAGCAGGAAGGGAGAGATAAGAATAAAGTACAGACTCTCATGGAAATGGCTAATGTCTTGTTCAAGCCCATGACAGGTGGGAAATAAGGCCAAAACAGACATCATCACTGCTGAAGATGAGATGAGAGTGAAAAACTGGTTCAGAAGTAGTCAAGCTGTGAGAGCTAGGAAAAAGACAGGAAATTACGCTTGGTGGACTGCAGAGTCAAGACCTTACAGGTAGCACAGTTTCAGGTGTTCAAATAGTCTAAGGAATGACTGACTACTCATGCCTTTGGGTGAATGAATGCAAACAACAACTTAGAATTTAGGGTGGCTCCTTGTAGAGACAGGCCTAAGTAAGCAAGCTTGCAACAGAAAAGTGGTATGGGGAAATAGATATAAATCCTTCTCCAAAAGGGTAAAAATAGAGCAATGAGTACAAAATAGGATATGTATATTTGGGAAGGCTGGATTTAAAGAGATGTTCTGTCTTAGAAGGAAAATCGTATGCTCAAACAAATTTATATATATGTGTATATATATATATATATATATATATACATATATATATATATGTATACACACACACATATACACACACATATATACACACATATACACACACATATACACATATATATCATAAACTTCTAGACAGATATTATTTTTTGAATCTGGTTGGAATAGTTGTTTGCAAAATATCTCTAGGACAAGTCCATAAATAAAAGGCAACTGGTTGAAACACAACAGCTCCACGTTACACTTAAATTAATTTCCCTTTAATAGATTCAATTTATGATAACAGAGTGAAATGAAATAATTTCTACCTTTTGGCATACACAAATTCAGATGAAAGGTCCTTTTCCCAGATGTCTCTTCATTCAACTGTTCCACTATAGACAATCCTGTAGGGAAGGTTTAAACAATGACTCATGCCCCAAATGACTGACCTTGGGGTTGGACCAGCGTCACATTCCTCTTCAGAATCTTCCTTTCCTCCTTGGTGTGGCAAAGGAGAATCACTGTCTTCATCACTGGATGATGAGTCTGAACTACTGCTCTTATAGTTGGGAGGCAGTGCTGGTCCTGCAACTAAAGAAGATTTGCTAGGGATTCTGTAAGCTTCAGGAAAGCCTTCCTAACCACTCTGAGCTCTCCTATGTACTCTCACACTGCTGTCTACCATTCACTTTGGCACTTAGCATATAGTATCTGGTATTGTTTACTATCATGTATGCATTCAGCTTGTATCCCCAGAAAAGGAACAACATCCTTTTGTATTCTCAGCACCTAGGAGTAGTTATATTGTGATGGTTATCTGATTTCCTCCATGTGGACATACCCTCCACAAAGACAGATCCAACCCCCTCTCATCCTGTGCGGTTCCTGTCTGTCTTCCTTACACCCTTCAATGAGGTCCCATACAGAAGGACCCTTCACTAATATCTTCCTCTGATGTTTATAGTGGTATATAGATGCCCGAGGTTCTAAAACTATGCCAGATAAGTTGTGAACTCTGATAGGCTCAACCAAGCTGGAAAGCCCTAGAGTAAGAGTTAGGGGACGAGGCTGGGCAAGGACGAGCCTCACTGATTCCAGGACACCTCATCTCCAGGTTGGGTAAAAGGCAATGAATTTGTGCTCAAATTAGTTCTACAAAGTAATACAGGGGTTGCAATCAGCATCTGCGAAGGAAATACACTGAGAAAATCGCAAACCTCTGAAGTAATCAATGAGATCTTTCCAAAGCATGGGAGACCTTCTTTTAAGTCTGTTAATATTTTATGGCTACCAATGCAATGTTCAGATTGCCCATCATTTTTTCTTTCTCTCACTATGTAACTTTTCATGTGTATTTTTTACAATTCTTTTCTCTTTTCGTGTGTGTGCACAAATCCATCATTGACAATACGTTGCAATCTACTTACCGGAGTCTTATTTCTCACTAAATACTTAACACAATGAACTTGAAAGCTTATCTGCTTTAATATTTTCAATACTTTGATAGAATTTCCCTTATTGTTCTTTTATATCATTAAATAGAACAGGTTATTTTAGAATCTACCCTAGAATTCAGTAGATTGCAAATTCCTTTAGGAATTTACTGGGTTATCTTTCACCTTTATATTCCCATCACTTAGCATGTTCTTTGCACATAGTAGGCATTTAATAAATGTTTGATAAACACTATACTTTGGAAAATGCCTAGAAATGACTGTTATATAGTGGAAAGACTAAGAATCAAATTATTTTAGACTGAATTATTTGGAAAGATACTTGAATTTTTGTTGCCTAGATTTGCTGAGTCTATAAAATTTTTCCCCTAGTTTATAGAATTCCTAATGTATCTCTGATTTTTCATTTACCTCTTAAACAAGGAATAGCACCACCATCCAGGATGAATGGAGATCATCCCCAGAATGGGGATGCTGTTTCAATTAGAATGCTACTTCAGCATGCTCTTCTCTCACTCACACTAATGGTCCCTTCTTTCTTTCTTTGCTCTTGATTTTAAAGTTTTAAGCAGGAAGGTTTTTTCCTTCTCTTTTTTTCTTGCTTTCCTTGCCCCTTATAGTATAACATTGAAACACACTACGCCTCTAGGTGATGGCTTAGTGGACAGAGCATTGGGCCTGGAGTCATGAAGACCTGAACTAAAATTCAGCTACAGATACTTCCTAGCTATGTGACCCTGAGCAAGTCACTTAACCTCTGATTACCTGACAAAACTATACATTGGACACACTGGAAAAGGAAATGGCAAACCACTCCAGTATGCTTGCCATGAAAATCCCATGGACAGGTGTGATAGGTACCTGGATTTTGCCCTGACCTGTCATTTCATTGGCCTGGGGAGCACCCAAAGAAGAACTTCCTAGAGGCAGCTAGATGGTACAGTGGATAGAGCTCCAGCCTTGGAGTCAGGAGGACCTGAGTTCAAATTCGGCCTCAGACACTTGACATTTACTAGCTGTGTGACCCTGGGCAAGTCACTTAACCATGACTGCAAAAACAAAAACAAAAAACAACCCCCAAAACCTCCTTTAGCCAAGCAGGTTGGGACCTTCTCTGAAACGTATAGTCATGGAGCTGCCTAGAGCACTGAGGTGTTAAGCGATATGCCAAGGGGCATACAGCCAGGATGTGACAAAAGTGGGATGTGAATGCAGGCTTTTGTGGTCTGGAAGCTAGCTTTCTGGTCAATCTGCCGTGCTGCCTTTCATTTGGGTTTGGAAAGGATTTTGATATGATCTAATTCATTTTGCTATATGGTGTGTAGCCATGTGAAGGATGTTGCAAAATGAATGACTATATTAAATATAAAAAAGTATATTTTTAGGAAGTGGTACAGGTTGAAGAGTAATTTAATTTAAAATAGTTGCATAGATATAGTGATTGTAAAACCATTTTAAATTTCTGCTACTGTGAATTAGTTATTACTTTCAACAGACGAGAATAATATTCAAGGAATAGCATATGGTACTATCAAAAAAAAAACCAACTAGAGAAATATTGAAGTGTGAAATCAGCTATATACTGCACATGAAATAATTTAATGTTATTTATATGCATGAAAGGAAATAAGCATTATATAATAGGATAGCACCATGCTGTGAGAGAGATGATAACAGGACAAGTTGATTTGAGTAAGCTATGGTTAGTGATGACAGACAACTGCTGGAGAAGGTTGCTAGCTTTATTTTATTTATATTTTTTACAGAAATCTTCCCTTTTCAAGGCTCTAAGACTCATTAATTTCTCACTCATTCAGTAACATTTACTAGGGACTTATTGTGTGCAAAGCAGTGGGCTAGGTTTTGGGGAAGTAAAAAAGATGAAAGAAAAGTCAAGATCAAGACCTCTAGTAGTGGCAGCCTCCAATCAATTACGTGTCTCAAAGTTTCCACACTTAGGAAGGAAACAGCAAAGACAAACAATCCTTTACACCTGATCAAGCAACAGGCATTTAGATTAAGTGCCTTCTTTGTGCTAGGCATTGTGCTAAGCTCTGAAGAGGCCGAGACAAAAATAAAACAGTCACTACCCGAAGAAGCTTACATTCTGTGGGGTGAGAGGCACACATACAAGCGTAAAATAAATACAAGATAATGTGCCAGAGGAGAGAATCAGGAAAAGCTCCAAGTCGCTTAAGCTGATTTAAAGGAAACTAGAAATTCAATGAATTGGAAGTCAGAAGGTTGTGTATTCCAGGCATGGTAGACAGTCAGCACAGATAATGTGTTGTATAAGGAACCACAAGAAGGCCAGTATGATTGTACCATAGAACGCATGAAAGGGAGACTGAAGTATTTATAGTAAGAGGCTTGAAGAGAGAAGGTTTAGAACAACTATTGTTGTGAGGAGTGGGACAGAGTCAATTAGAGAAGAGTAAAAGGATTTCCACGGTACAGTGAGGTCCCAGTTGAAATAGATAACAAATTTGTAGTGGATTTCCCACAGCTCTGTTCAGCAGGATTATGAATAGTAGTATCAGAGTAGCTGAGGAGTGAAGGAAATGGATGGCGGACACAATGTAGGGTTGGGTGCAGGCAGAAGATCCTGACGAGTTGAACTAGAGAACTACGAGGCAGACATTGGGAAAAAAATGGAGCCAAAGCAACAGTGAGAGCCAAGGAGAGTATGTGAGGGGTGGAGAGACTGGAAGTCATCTAAGCTAGAGGTGTAGTGTTATCAATATTAGGGCAGATGTCCAAAATGGGATTATCACTCTGTAAAAAGATCCTAAAATTGCTGGGAGTAGGGAGGCTCTCTAAACTCTTTTCTTATACTCCCTATAATGCCTAGTGCCATCAAATCAACGTATTAACACAATTTATTAAGTATTTACTATGTGAACGAATCTGACTAATAATTCTTTATACCTAGTCAGTTAACAAGCATTTATGATATATCTGCTATGTGCCAGGCATTGGGCTAGTGCTGGGAGTACTAAGATAAAAATGAAATAGTCCTCAGGGAGCTCATATTTTATAACAGGGAAAATGTATACATACATAACTATATACAAACAATATACACTGTAATTTATGAGGGAAGGCACTAACAGTTGGGGGATAACAAGAAAGACCTCGTTTAAGAGGACAGAATTAGATGTTTGTAAAGCTCTTTGAAAACCTTAAGGTATAAGTGCTAGCAATTATTAATAAACACTGTTTGTGAGGCATTGGGTTAAGGGCTGGTGATGCAAACAAGGGCAAAAACAAGGTCCCAGTCCTTAAGGAGTTCACATTCTTATGGGCTGTATGTATTTTATCCTGGAGGCAATAGGAAGCCACTGAACCTTTTTTACTAAGAGGATATCATACTTCTCTTTATTTTTTTCTCTGTAGCATTTTTTCTCTTCCCAAAACACATTTTTTTATTATTACTTCATTATTAATTAGGTCAGAGAGCTAAGCAATTTGTTCAAGATATAAATAAGCCAATTTCCTAAAAACATAAAATCTCAGCAGGACAGACAAAAAAATGAACTGATAATTTAATTTCAGAAGTTCAAATTCATCACATTTTTGTCCTTAAAAAAAAACACAAAAAATTTAAGGCTCCTTTGCTTTTTTTCCTTTCCTTCACTTGTTTTTTTTATGAGGATCTCCCAATCCTAACCCCCAGGAAAAATCACTATCTTATGATGGAGCATATTTTCCAAGTATGTAGGCCTACTCCTTGCTTTATAATGTATCTGAATGGAATTTGGAAATACCTTTATGTTTATTTATTATTACCCCCATTCACAGATGAAACCAAGTCTAACAGAGGTTAAGTGATTTGCCCAGGGCCGGACAGCAAGATAATATGAACTCAGAACTTCCTAATTCCATGCCCAGAACTATGCACTGTGCCATCTATCTGCTGCCTCAAATGCTTTGACTGACAACTTTACCATCTCACTCTCAGTCTACCCTTCCAGGATGACACATCCTCTGTTCCAACTAAACTGCCTTCCTTGCTGTTCCCTGCATGCCTCTCCTGCCTCCTTGTCTTTAAACAAGGGGTTTCTTTATACGGGTAGACAGATAAAGTGCTGAAACCAGAGTCAGTAAGACCCGAGTTCAAATCTGATTATTAGCTGTGTGAGCCTGGGCATGTCACTTAACCTCTGTCTGCCTCAGTTTCCCTATCTGTAAAATAAGGATCACAACAGCACTCACCTCCCAGGGCTGCTGTGTGAGAATCAAACAAATAATTATTTCAACTACTTGCATTACATCGTCTGCAAAGAGTGATCGTTTTGTTTCCTCTCTGTCTATTCCTATAGTTTCTTTTTCTTGTCTTAATGCCATAGCTCGCATTGCTGTGACGATCAAAGGAGAGCTTACCTACAAACCTTAAAGAGCTATACAAATGCTATGATGATGCTGATGATGATGCTGGCTGGAATGTTCTCCCTCCTCACCCCTTTCCCCCAATCTCCCCTCCAGCAGAATCCCCAGCGTCCTTCAGCGCCCGGCTCGGCACAGCAGGACCTCCCTGATGCTCCCCGGCGCCCCCCAACCCCACCCCCCACAAAGCTACTCTGAATTTCCCGACTTTGCACTTGTTTCTCGTGCATCTGTCTCCCTCGGGTAGAAGGGAAGCCCCACAAGGGCAGGGCCAGAGTCGTTTTCTCGGGGTCTTCCCAGCCCCTCGCCCCGCTCCCGGCACATAGCGGGCCTCGCCACCCCAAGAGGCGCCGGGGCTGGCCTCGACTCGAGCGGGATGGCCCTCCTAGCTTACCAGGACTCAGGTCCGGCTCTTCCTCCGCAGTCCCTCGGGCGTTGAAGCCCGGGGGCAGCGCGGGGCCGATCAGGTCCCTGGCCATCGCGACCCGAGCACAGCCTAGACTCCCTGGCCAGGCAGCAGAACACACACAGACCTCTCACAACACGCACGCGCAGGACCCCTCTTGGTCTCCCAGTCAGGGGAAAACTCCGGAGAGAGTTTTTCCGGCGCCGGGGAAGTAACGTCACGACACAGCTATTGGTCCCTCCGTGTGTTTACTGGTGGAGCGGAAGTGACGCATAATGTCACCGCCTCCGAGGTTAGCCCACGTGCTACGGGCTGCCTGCGAGGTGCACGTCTTGCTTCGGTTTCCCGGTGAGACTTATCCCCGGGTTTCATGGACCCGTTCGGCTGGTACCCTCCGCCCGGGCCGCCCCCGGTGCTGACGCTCCCGGGGTTGGAGTCTGATCAGTCTGCGGACTGGACATCTTGGGTGCTTCCTCCTCCGCCGCCCCCACCGTCCGTTCCGCCATCTCCCCTGCCCCCTCCTCACCTACCCCCCTCATCCGAGAATCCCTGGGACTTCCAGCCGGCCCGGGACTGGTCCTGGGCGCCGGCTCCGGGCTACGACGGCTTCGACCCTCAGCAGGGACACTGGTACCAGCAGCCAGGTAAACACAGGCTTTTTCCTCCCCAGGGATGTGATTTCTAACTCGCATTCCCCATTCTCCCCTCTCCCCAACTCCGAGAATTGATTCGGCTTCCATGCTCCATCCTCCCCCTCCCCCAGATCTCCCTGCGTGTTTTATTAATTTGGGAACTGCATTCTTCTCACTGTCACTCTACTCACCCCTCCCAATTTTTGTATTAATTGGGATGGGGGGGGGGCTTGTTCAGACCAGTTTAAATCATAGCATTAGAACCAGAAGGGATTTCAGAGGTTATCTAGGGGAAGAGGACAGAATAAGCATTTTTATAAATGTTTTCGCTGTGCTAAACAGTACGCATTTTATCTCATTTGAACCCTGGGAGGTAGATGCTGTTATTATCTCCATTTTAGTTAGGGAAACTGAGGCAAACAAGGTTAAGTGACTTGCCTAGGGTCGCACAACTAATAAGTATCAAATCTCAGATTTGATCTCTAGGCTTTCTGATTCCAGGCCCCGTGTTCTATCCACTGCTGTACCCAGCTCTCTCTAACTAATCCGACCCTCTCATTTTAGAGATGAGAAAAGTATAGAACTAGCATGAACCCAAGTCCTTGGACTCCCAAATCCAGCCTACACTGTGCTGCTTCACAAAGGGTTTATTTTGCAAGGTGTCCCACCTTGTATGAGATTTTGCTAATTTCACTGTGACAGAAACTTTGTTCAGATGTTATGAGTTTGTGTTTGAGGTAGAAGTATCATGTTGTAAGTGGATGGAGTGCTGGCAATGGAATCACGAACACTTGGGTTCCTATTCTCACGTCAGACCTTTAGTATTTGTGTGACCCTAAGCAGGTAGAGAAACCTTTCTGAACCTCAGTTTCCTCCTCTGTAAAATGAGGGAGTTGGACTCATGACCTCCAAGGTCCCTTCCTGCTTTATATCTATGATCAGAATGACAACGGTAAATTTTCTTTTGATAGACAAAAGTCTAACCTCTAGGGTTTAATGCCATTTTCGATTTCAAATCCAGAATTCTCCTGATTTCAAGATCAGCAGTCTGCCTCATTTACATTTTTAATATTTAATTTTTAACTTATTTTCTTTGCCCTTTTCTAGCAAGTCTTTATTATTTGTAGGATTATAGAATTTAGAGCATTTTAGATATCATTTGGTACCATCCTTGCATTTCACAGATGAAAGAACTCTTGGGCCCAGAGAGATGTGGTCAAGGTCCAGATCCACCTCCTCCCATTGTAAATCTGGTGCTCTTTACACTTCTGTGCTGCCTCTTTAGTTTAACTTCTTATTTCCAGTCTGGGGCCCATCTTCAATTGTTCTGATCTATATTTGGCCTCTGGACCCAGATGGTTCTGAAGGAGAAAGTGAGGCAGGTGACTTTGCACAGCCCTCCTCACTTAAATGCAATTCAATTGCAAGTCATGGAATCACCTTTCTGATGCCATGGTCCTCTTCAGGAATGAAGGACAGGGGCAGCTAGGTGGCACAGTGGATAGAGCTCCAGCCTTGGAGTGAGGAGGACCTGAGTTCACATGTGGCCTCAGACATTTGGCACTTACTAGCTGTGTGATCCGGGGCAAGTCACTTAAACCCAATTACTTCACCAAAAAGCAAAAAAAAAAAAAAGCCAAGCAACAATAACATTTCCTATCTAAGGCCAGGGAAGTTTTATCTAGATAATAGAAGATATAAACTGAAATAATGTCCACCATTCCATTCTACGTTATGGTAGTAGTGTTGGGAGGGAAAAGTGCGTGGCAAGAGAGCTTAAATGTCTGAATAATAGGAGGTTCTTAAAGCTGCCATGTTTTTTATGAAGGGTCCTTGGGAAGGTGATACAGTTTTAGTTAGCTGGGCAAAATGAGTGCTTGTGGGACGGGACTCTGCTTTAGTGGAAACATCATTGTATGTAGAGTCAGAATGGTCTGTCCTTACTACCCTTGTGACCTCGGACAAGTCATTTTACTTCTCTAGGACATGATTTACTTATCTTTTAAAAGAAAAGGGTTGGATTGTTTCCTATTCCTCAAAATCAAGGTTCTCTAAAGTCCTATTTAGCTTTAAACCTTATTATCCTGGGCTTCAGCAATGTAATTTTCTAAATTGCAGAGCAAGTGTTATACTAGTAAACATTTTTATTAGAGGATAGTCATTTCATGCAAATGAAAAGGGAAAAAATTAAATTTTCTTTAAATATTTAATATTAAATCATGAGTGCTTGATACAAGCTTTTCATTCAACAACTCTTACTGGGCATAAAACTCATGGTACTTAGAGTTGGAAGAGTTAGATAGTTGATATGATAGCAAGAATAACACAGTAACGAAGGCTTAGATATTGCACAGAACTGTTCAGATTTAACAAAGTTTCTTAGAATAAAGAGGATGCAGGGTGACTGTATCTAATATCTATCAATAACAGTTGTTATCAGGGCAGAAGGTGATATGTAGGATGGATCATCTGTAAAAAATAATGGAATCATCTCTTATACAAGCTAAAATTATAGCACTGGTAATGAAAATCCACCAAGAATGCAGTGTCTCACTTTAGTCACTGACTAAATTATCATATGGTCCTTTTCATTTCAGTGACTTGAAAGTTAAGAAAATTGTTGGCTTAACTAGAAGTTAAGTAACTTGGCCCTGGGTTACATAGCCAATAAGTGTCTGAAGCTGGATTTGAACTCAGCTCTTCCTGATTCTAGGCCCAGTACTCTATCCAGTGTTCTACCAGCTGCCTCCAGTTGAAGGCAAATTGAGTTGAAATTCATTATTTAATAATGAGAAAAATAATTCACATGTCTCTAGTCTTTTACAATTTGCAGAGCCCTTTCATCACGATTACCCATGTGGTAGGTAGTCATTAAAACCTGAAGATATTTTTCCTATTGCTTATCATTTATTAGATTGAACAATTCTGATTTTATTAGACAATACTTAAGGATACTTGAAGGATACCTGTTTGCTAATATTATGGAAATTAGTTAAACATCAAACTTGGATGGACACTGCGGATAAATAAAGGGCTGATCCTAGCATTAAACAAGAGAAAGATGAGCAGATTGGGGCATATTTGATAAATTACAATGTTTTCATTGAGCTCAAACAATTCACTGCCTTAGAAACCACTAATAGTCCTTTGGTTATGCTATATGAAGGCAAACTATGAAATATCATTTATATATCACTTTTGTTATTCAGAAGAAACGAAATTACTGGTGACTTAAAGGGCTTTACACTCGTATGGTAGAGTTGGTTGCACCAGGTTACTGGTGGTGTCTTGTGTACAAGGATTGTCACAAGAAGATCATCAGAGAAGTGTGTGATTGGAAGAGCAGGTGAAGCATCACGTAGAAGAGTGAGATTTAACAGATGGGCAGCTGGCCATGGGCTGCCCTGGAATCTCTGGAAGATGAAGACTGAGAGGAGAGGAAGGCTTCTGATGTGTCAGGTAGATCTTCAGAGGATTTCTAGGACATGAACAAGAATATCAGAGGATGAGAAGGGTCAAAACTGCATCTGATGCACAGGTCAGCCAGTGGTTTGAGTCTGATTTTTTGATGGAAATGCCATCTCACCTAACTCATATTCTCCCAAAGGAGGAATAATTGTGTATCTCTGCTATGTCTAGTTTCTCTGCTATATTTCTATTATATCTGCTTCTCAACAGATTCCCTGTGATGTGTAGTTTAAAAATAATTATAAGTAACTGTGGTTCTAATTTTGTTTTGTAGGCAGAAACTATCATTTCAACAAGAAAAACCATGACAGATCAAATCGAAATTTCAAAAATCAACAAAGTGGAAAACAGAAACAAAAGGTATGAAAGAGAAGTCTTCAGAGATAGGCTCTTTGTTGCATGTGTAAGTTTTTGTTTTTGTTTCATGTGAATTGGATTTCTTCTATAGGCTCTTTGTTGCATGTGTAAGGTTTTTGTTTTTGTTTCTTTCATGTGAATTGGATTTCTTCTTCCTACTGTGGTGGTGTTTCCCCTCCAGAAACTAAGTAAATGTTGATCAGGCAGTGGAGAGGGGTGTGGGTGTGGGTATATGTGTGTGTGTGTGGGTATATGTGTGTGTGGGTGTGGGTGTGGGGGGTTGTTAATTTTTTAAGTAAGCTCCTAGAGAGTCCAGTCTTCCTAATTTATAGACCATATCCTTGAGGTACCATTAAATAGAAGCTTTCAGATTAGAAATTAGTTGTGTACTGGATGCAGTGTTATGTTTTTCATAATTTTAATGTGAAAACTTCTATATAAAATAAAATTCCATAAGCATGTTATATAGATGCTGTGTAAGTATTGGATTTAACATAAATACTAAATGTATTTACTTGTAATAATTCTACCTTTGATATTAAAAATCTTTATTAAAAAAGGTTTTAGCTATGTTATTTGCCTTAATTTAATTATAGAATGGTAAAATATGAAAGCATTTAACCTGCATTAAGGGATTCATTTTGTTTTGGGTTAGTGGATAGAAAGATGACCTTAGAATCTGGAAGATCAGGGTTCCAGTCCCTCCTCTGACACAGTATGACCTTGGGCACACAC